AATATAACTAATACTAGCCTCTATTAATTTAACCCCCCTTAAAAGGAAACCTTAATATTATAATATCTATTCTAATCCGCCTCTACTCTCGTACCCCCCTCCCTAATAAGTTTTATATTTTTAATAAAAATTTCCGTCCTAAGTAATTTCCTACACTTCGAAATTCCTTCTATTTAATTTAAAATCTAATTCAAATAATAATAACCTTTTTATCAATTAATATAACTATTAATAACAATACTAATTTTACTAATACTAATCTAATCCAACCCCTACCCCTCAAAAAGAACTAATATTATAATATCCGTTCCAACCTATTTTTATTCCCTTACGCCTATATATTCTATAACCTCCAATCTCCTAAATAAAAGCTTCTCTATCCCAACTAACTTTCCATACCTCGAAATTCTATTTTTAAAATTTATTTTTAAAAGTAAATCAATATTTAGAAGACCCTAAAACTTCATTTAATTACTCAACATCCAACTAATATTATTAGTAGCAAAATATTTACCTCCTAATAACATACCTACTCTAAAATTTATTAATATTATAACTTTATTAAAAAGGGGGTCTATATCTTTATTTATATTAGGGTCCATATAAATCCAATAGGGGAATAACTAATTAACCCCCTATTAAATTTACGTATATTAAATTAATATAAATAGAACTCCAATATAGGATATGGATATACTATTTATATAAATCCAACGGGGGAAAAATTAATTAATTCCCCCTATTAGATTTAAATATATTAAATTAATATATTCTACTAACTATAAATATATTAATACTCCTATACTAAACCCTATATAAATTTTACTATACTATATAATTTTAGAATTAATTCTATAAAAACGCGAAAATTATACGGAATTAATAAGTAAACAGAGCGCCCTAAATTAATTCGGCTCTAATTTATACAAATATTTAATATTTTATTAAGAATATATTATACTATTTTATTATTAAATTCAACCCTATCGCTAAAATATACCTATTCACCCTTATTATTACTAATAACCATCTCTCCCACATCCCTCTCCATTTATTAAATACCCCTTTCGAAATCCTAAATTATAATTTACTTATTTACCCGCAATAATCGGACCTCCTTTACATTAAATACATCAAACTTTAATTCCAATAATATAATAAAACTAAATTATAGAATATTAAGAATATTAAATTCCAAGTAATCGGGTGGTCGAAAAGTCGTATATTCCTAATGTACTTACCTATTCTAATAGACTATATAAATATAATTAATAATATCTTTATCGGTAAATAATTTTATATATTTACCTACCTAATATATTCGTATATCATTTTTAATAACTTTATAAATAACTATAATATAAGGGTTAATAACAGAAAGGCGGACGAACAAAATCCTTATATTATAAATCGAATTCTTATTCTACTTAATATTAAAGGTAAAGGAAGTATTAATATACTTGAAAACCATATTAATCGCCTTCTACTAACTACCGGCTATAGAATACTGTACTATACTAGAATGTAGAATAATATTAATAAATAGTTCGTCTGTAACTTTAAAGTAAAGTAACTATATTAAATAGAGTATTTCAAACTTATAGTTACTTAATTTACCGCTATAAAATAAGATAGGAAAAAAATTTATTATTTATTAGAAAATACTATAATCTCCTAAGGAAATAGTTTTATCGAATATAAGAAAAATATAAATAATTTAAAAGTAACAACAAATATTATAATAGCTTATATTTATTATACCCGAAAATATTTTATACCCAAACTAAATAAATAAAGAAAAAATTTTATTATAAATAGAAAGAAATTCCCGATTAATAAATTTTTCTCCAATATTCAATATAGCTTAATATACAAATACTTTAATAAAATTAAATTCTAAAATAAAACTATAATTAACGAACTTAGTAATAAGAAAGGCTAGAATCCTAGAGGCAAATATATCTTCTAATAAAAACCGACCGTTATAGAATATAATATCGTACTATTTTACCCTCTTACCTCTTTTAAAGCCCTATATATCCTATACTATAAGAGGCTAAAAAACCCGAAATACTATATTAATATAATTTATAAGGATATAAAAGAACGTAAATACAATAAAGATCTACTATTTACAATTATATATATAACCTACTTCGAATTAATCGAAAATAATATAGCGAATAAAGAATATTATTTTCTAATCGCTATAAATAAGGATAAATTAATCCCTAAAATTATCTATACTAAATCCGAAAATATTAAAGAAGAGTTTATTGTAAAATTAATAAATATTAGAAATTTTACCTTCATCCTCTATAATAATAGAGGTTTATAAAATATAATTTTCAATAATTTTCAATCGCTTAACAACTAGGAAGTAAGGAATAGACTATTATAATTTCCGCCCGACTATAAAAGCTAATCGACTTTTAATAAAATAATAGGCTATATTATTGAAGGATAATAATATTATACTCAAATACGTAAAAAGCCATTCCAATTAGAACTTAATATAAGAATACTACTAAAATAATTTAAACGGCCTATTAATATCGGAACTACCAATAAAGAGACAAATAGTAAAGTTCTATATCACATCCTTCCGGCCAATTCCAAAACTTTATATATAATTAATAAAATTAAAATTATTATAAATAATAACTATACTCGGATTACAGCTAACCAATTTAAAATTTACCTACAATTGTATAAATATATAAGATAATAATAAAAATATAAATGTTTAAATCCTATAGGGGGACTCTTCAAAATCCCCCTATAGGATTTAAGTATTAAATTACATACTATAGAAATATTAATAAAATAATTAATAATTTATAAAATAATTTTATAAAAAGAAATTATACCGAACCGAACTAAAATATTATATATACGTAACTATATAAAATTACTCTTTAAATAAATACCAAATAACTTTAAAATAAATATACTATTTTAAAGTATATATAAATTTATAATAATAAATACTATTATAACTACACAATTATAGATCTCTTTTTTTTTCTAAATATTATCCTTCGATTTATATAAGTCTTAATAAGTATACTATTATATATATAACGTAATAAATAACTCTATTAATCTTAGCGCAATTTCGGACATAGTATTATAGGCAAAATAGAAGCGAAAATAAATCTACAAAATATTAAATATATCCTTAATAATAATAGGGTAGGCTATATTACTAACTCTAACAAACTCGTCGGTAAGAAAAATATAGAATACTAATTTACCTAAGAGAAATCTAAATTCTATATAAAGGGTTTTATTAAAATATATTTGAAGTATATATTTAATTAGGGGTTAGGTTAGATATTCGTCCGATTTAAATTATATCTCCTCCCCTTCTAATTAGTATTTAATTTTATCCTTTTTAAAGTATATATAAACGCTAACATCCGTAAGGACTTCACGCACTTTAAAATATTAAAGTACGCTAATAAATATTTTTAAATATTTACTATACTATTAGGAAATATTTATCCCCCGGTAAATATACAAATAAATAAAATAATATAATAAATTCATTTAATAATTAACCCTAATATATTAATAGATACTATTAAATAAACGTTAAATATCTTTAATTTCTATATTAATATCAATATCTACTATAAATATATTTATAGTAAATATATTTCTAAAATAGACTTCGTCCGTAGGTTAATTAGAGAATTCTAATAAATACTAAGAAGGAACCTTATTAAACAATTTATTATATAATTCCTCCGGATAGTAGGAACTTTATAATTAAAACGAAAGTAGAAGAAACGAAAGAGTAAATATTAATTAAGCTACTAAATATAATTAATAGGATATAAGTATATTATTAAAATTAGGAAGGGTAGGAGAAGATGGTGCTAATAAGTATATTAGTACTAGATATAATTTAGTACGCATATTATTCGTTTTAGAACTATAATATTTAGGGAAATTTGGGGAAATTTGGAGGTTTACGTACAATAAACTATTTCATCCATATTAGGCTTAGACCGGAGTATAGCCGCATCGTTTTAAACCCACAGGGCCAAATAGTGTAATGTCCGGATTAGTAGGTGGGTGAGGGTAGTAGGCCGGATATCACAACCATTTGGCCCTGTGGGTCCGAAGAGACGTATAGGCCATCGGAGGTGGCTGAGCGACTGAGACTACCGAGAGCTCACTCTGGTTGTTTTGTTAGGACACAGAACTGACCGATCAGGGTCCCGGGGTTGGACCTACTAGCCCGGGCGCTTAACTGGCACATTGGGTTGTGGCCCTATAATCTCGTAGTGTACGCTTTATCCCCCCTCCCACCAACCTGTTCGACATTCAGTTGTTGATGAAAAGGAGAAGATTGTGAGCAAATGAGGGACGTGGCAAATGAGTTATTTGTATCGGGGCATACTTATATTACACTGCAAGTGTTGAGTCGCCTAGGGAGCGGATACAGGTCCGTGGTGTTGATGGGATTATGCTGGCTTGGGAGAATGAGACGGGCCCACTGAATGGGTACTTGTTCTGGAAACTCGATTTGAGGTTCTCGACGTATCCTCACAGGGCTGCAGGAGGTCGCATACAGACTGGCCGCGGCGGGCTGGCGCTGGCCAGGAGAAGAAGAAACATTCAGGAGCCAGAGTTAAAAGTGAGGATGAACGGAAAGGGCATCCAAATCTTCACTCAAGCTGCAGTGTGATATCTTTAGATGTACCGGCGCCCAGGCTCTACAGGCTGCTGGCACGGCTGATTAGCCGCCCAGGTGTTGATACCGTGATGCGTTTCCATGCTCTTGTACGTGTATGTGAAACCATAGACTTGAGGGCACATCAATCCGCTCGTCGTGTTACTTACTGTACGCGAGGCACGAGGATGCATGCTGTAGCCCAGAGGCAATGTCTACCACCTCAGTCAATCATCGTGCCTATTTACATAGTATGTGAACGGGAAGAAAGAAGAAAGACGGGGATTCCATTTGTGTTGATGGTTGTGCCCCTGGCCTAGCCGACCGTCAGCGAGCTGAACCCCGCTGGCGAAGGAGTCCCGCTCGGACTCCTTGATGCGTTTGACGATTCTGAATGAGCCCCACCAACAATGACAACGTGGGCTGAGCTTCCCGCTGGGGATTCCTTGTTGCACTTTGTTCCGGCGTCAACATGCTTCAAGAAGCTGTGTGAAAGTGTGAAGTAGTTGGGGTCTCGATCCCCGTGTCATTTTCTCCTGTTTAATCCTCATCAGCTCGATAACTTGGTTTCCATTGATCCATCCTTGGTCAGTCTTCCTGCTGAGCCGGGCCCTCGTTGTTCTCTGACACCATTCCAACCACCAAACACCACGGTATTATTGGGTGGGTGGCTCTGCACCGAGGTACGTCCAAGTGTCGACAACGTCTAATCTAGACTGCCCGGTCCCGCCAAGGCCGCTTTCGTGGTTCACTTGGTGCTTGACTGCGCACCACCTGATCGTCCATCTGATATTCTTGCTTTCCGGCTGGCTCTACCCGCAGTGTTGAAGGAGCCGGACCTTGGGTTTCAATGAAAGCCCCTGGACACTGACATCCACTCAACTTGATCATCCTGGGATCTGAGGTGCGCCGCTTGGCGGTCGAGGTTCGCGGAAGAGTGGAAAAGGAAGCCAGCAACGCAAGCCCAGTGGGTTTGCTCTGTTACACTGCATCCGTTCCAATTGATCCCTCATAAATCGATTGAATACCTCACCCTGCACCCTGACTTGTGTTGCCAACAGCTAATCATAGCAAGCAGCCTAGGTACTAGACAGGCCGGCATATTGAGGGTAGACCAAATTCGCGCCCAACCCCTCCGCCACCACCTCCCGCTACAACTTGAACCGCAACAACGCAACCAACACCAACCGTCCAGACCCCCGCATTTCCACGCCCATCACATCCCCTTGGCGACGGCCACTTCCTTTACCACCTACACTCTTTCTACAAACAACAACAACAAAAACAACAAGGTGTTGAGCAACTGAGTACTTGGTTGTTCTTCGATCGCAACCACCCCTCGACTGCGCGGCTCGACTGGGATCTCGGACAACCCCACTCCATCAGACGAATCCCCTCATTCGGTAGCGCCCCGTTGACTCGCGATCAACGCCTCCGTTGTCACACAAGAACACAAGTATTTTCTAATCTTCGAGTCGGCGAAACAACCGAACCGCTTACTGTTTCTGGACAGTCTTTGTTTCCCGTAAGCAACCTTTCGGGACACGTCGAAATGAGCAGCGCACAAAGAGGCGGAGCTCGCAAGATCTCCTTCAACGTCAGCGAGCAGTACGACATCCAGGATGTCGTAGGTGAAGGCGCCTACGGTGTCGTCTGGTAAGTTGATCACCACAGATAGTCCTGGCCCATATGGAAGAACCACGAAAGCTGACAGGTGACCGGAACAGCTCTGCAGTACACAAGCCTTCGGGCCAAAAGGTCGCTATCAAAAAGATCACCCCCTTTGACCACTCCATGTTCTGTTTGCGGACGTTGCGCGAGATGAAGCTGCTTCGGTACTTCAACCACGAAAACATCATCTCTATTCTCGATATCCAAAAACCACGGAGCTACGAGACCTTCAACGAGGTGTATCTCATCCAGGTATGATCGCGTGCTGGCTCGGTCCTCCAGAATGTTATCATGTTCCTCACTAACATGGCTGGACATCCTAGGAACTAATGGAGACTGACATGCACCGCGTCATTCGTACCCAAGAGCTCTCGGACGACCATTGCCAATACTTCATTTACCAGACGCTGCGCGCCCTCAAGGCCATGCACTCTGCCAATGTTCTTCACCGCGACTTGAAACCCTCCAACCTTTTGTTGAACGCCAACTGCGATTTGAAAGTATGCGACTTCGGTTTGGCTCGCTCGGCCGCGTCGCAAGAGGACAACTCGGGCTTCATGACCGAATACGTTGCCACCCGTTGGTACCGCGCCCCCGAAATTATGTTGACGTTCAAGGAGTACACCAAAGCCATTGATGTCTGGTCTGTCGGCTGCATTTTGGCCGAGATGCTGAGCGGCAAGCCACTCTTCCCTGGCAAGGATTGTATGTGTCATGCCATCCCAAATTCCAACATATGGCAGCTGTACGGGGTTGAGACTAACGCGCGTTACTTGTGACAGACCACCACCAACTGACCCTCATCCTGGACGTCCTCGGCACGCCAACCATGGAGGACTACTATGGCATCAAGTCGCGTCGGGCGCGCGAATACATCCGCTCGCTGCCCTTCAAGAAGAAGGTTCCCTTTCGCACGCTGTTCCCCAACACGTCGGAGCTGGCCCTGGACCTGCTAGAAAAGCTCCTTGCCTTCAACCCTGTTAAGCGCATCACGGTCGAAGAGGCGCTCAAGCACCCGTACCTGGAGCCCTACCACGACCCGGATGATGAGCCGACCGCGCCCCCCATCCCCGAGGAGTTCTTTGATTTCGATAAGCACAAGGATAACCTGAGCAAGGAGCAGTTGAAGCAGTTGATCTACCAGGAGATTATGAGGTGAAGTGTCTACCGATACAGGCAGTTGCAAGAGAATACAGTGAGGTGAGGTGATCTGGACGGCTTTGCAGGGGAGTATTGGAACAACGTCAGTTTACTCGGTCCGATTGGGACCGTAGGAAATATCAGGGAGAAGTGGAATATGCTTTTTCTAGCATTTGATGGCGAATGTTGAAGGCTAGGGGGTGTATGTGAACAATGTTGGACTAGATGAGTGTGGGGGATGTCGATTACTTTACGTTTCCTTTGCGGTCTGATACGCTCTTATGGCTTGCTTAAACCGGATCCTGTTTCCGTACCGTCATGAATTTGAAGCTAGATTCTCAACCTGCCTGAGCTTTGATGATGTCTCTTCTATGGTGTTGTTCTTTTGGCTTTGGCACCTATGGCTAGGCGTCTCGGTTTGAAGGAATGAAGTTAAGCAAGAGTTCCATTCCGCGAGTAGGTGAAGGGTATTATAATACAAATACTGACTAAAAATGCAGACCCTATCACAAGGCCTACACCTGGTATGTATGCCCATCCTTTTCCTTTTGACTTGGTCAAGTCGAAACCCACCCCAACATAACGCCTTACGCCACAATATTTCCATATCCATACCCAGTTCAGTAATGGCCACAAAGCCGTGTTAGAAATGAAAACACATCAGTCTCAAAAGTCATCCCAGCCTCCTCTTCTCGCTAGCGAGCCAAGAGGCATCATAACCCCCCAGACCCAATTACCCAAACCTCAACCCCCAGAACAGAAAACTTCTCACCCTGATCGCTAAGCTGCTCATTCCCAAACGTCTGACTTGTAGAGCTCACCCCCTTCTCCAGCCCATCATCCAGCCACAACCCAAACTTCCCATCGCCAGCGCCCACACTCAAAAAATGGGACTCGCACAAAATGTAGTACTCGTTCACGCCACTGTAGGGAAACGCCTTGAAGCGGATGGTGGTTTGATCAACGGTACCGGTCAAGTCAGCAAATAGATCGTCTGCGCTGTCGTTGTGGGGTGGGGTGGCTGTCGTCGTGGCTCTCAAAACGGTACATGAGGCAAGATCGTCGCCGCTGTTGTGGTTCGTGGCCGTGTTCGTGGCCGTGTTCGTGGCCGTGTCTGTGCCCGTTCCGACTGACGAAATGGTGGATGTTCGGCCTCGCAGGTTCGTGGTGTCGGCGGAGGGAGGAGGCGGGAGGGAGGCCATGACGGAGGCGCGCCAGAGGAAACATTCACCTGTGCCGAAGTATTTGGGGGCTGGGTGGGGGAAGTCGGAGAGGTAGGCGCCGAAGATCTGTAACGTTGGGGAAGCGTGCGAGGTAAGCGACTGGTCTGTTTTTGGGACGTGTGTATCTTTGAGTGCCGAGTTTCGACAGTGATAGGAGGTGGGGCGGGGGAAAGGCCTGGACACGGAGTGAAGAAGAGAGAGGGAGGGAGGGAGGGAGGGAGGGAGGGAGAGGGGGATAGGCAACTTACACCACCCTCTGCATCTTTAACAACCAACACGAATCCCACTCGTCGTCCGGAATACTTTGCACACTTATCGTAAAGCGTTCCCAGACTTGCCCCATCCTGGTCCAGACTGTAGACCAAATTCCACTCATCCACGATGCTGAGTCTCGTAGGCACCATGATCCGTATCTCTTCCGCGATCGCCTGTGTTAATATCCTGGCCGACGCGGGTGTGTCTGGTGCAAACCCCTTGAGCTGCACGGGTTCCAGTGGAGGCGGCTGCATTGGTGACGCCGTTCGTTGGATAGTTTCATGGAATCGAGGGGGAACGTAAACTCCGTCGACGCCGTTGTTGTTGTTACTGTTGTTGTAGTTGTGGTCGTCGAAGTGTGAGTGTGAACTGTCTGCTGGGTATGACTGTGAGTGGGTGAGGGACGGCGTTTCGGCGGAGAATCGCCGAATCAGACCTCCCCAAATACTGGAGACGAGCCCTGGTAGTTGAGAGCTGCTGGCCCCCGACCCTGTCGGTGTTTGGGCGCCGGAGCCCGGGGCGGACGAGGAGTACTCCGATTCGGGCCGGAAGGTTTGGATGGGATGGGGGTGTCTGCGGCGAGAATCGTGGTAGCTCATGGCTTCAGGTTTCCAATGACCCGACACCCGAATTTCGAAGGCTTATATCGAGGGTGGTGTACGAATAACTTAGGGATGACTGAGAAAGCGCGTAGGAAGCTTTGGCAGATTACGGATTATCGATTGCCGGTAGGTAAAGTAGGTGCGGTAGAGAAGATGTTTGTACATGAGTTTGCAGATAGGTTCAGTTGATGGACGGCAGGGATGAACTGGAGAATGCATGCTAGCGAGTAAGTTGGCGGGCTGCGGGTGGTCCATCTGTCGACTTTGCTACAGTCCGGGTGCCGTAGCGTGCGTGCCCTGACATGGAAGCCGAGCTCTTACTATTTCAGACCCCCCTCCCCCCGCACGACCTATGGCTTATGTTTATGTTGTGAATGACGACGCATGCCCCTGGGAGCTTCCGTAAACGAGAAGGGTTGACGTTGCTTTCCGTGCACATAGCGTAGCCCAGGATCCGGGGGGCTAGTAGTGGTGTGCTTTAGCAATGCCCGCCGATACCCCGTACGAGCCCGTACAATATATGCCGTTATTGCGGTACGTACTATTCTACCAATCTACCAAAACTGAGGATAGCGCTCTATGTAGTGTTTAAGGGGAGACGTGTGCGGAGTCATGCTTGCTGTACGTCCAGGTTGGTACCCTATGTACCTCTTACGTTTAAATGTCTGTTAGTACATGCAGCCTCTTGGTAACCCGGGCGTTGTGTAGCCCGCGGGGAGGTAAGTCCACGGTTAGGTTCCCTTTTAGGTGGTTTTAGTCACAAGCACCAAGAATCTACTACTCTTATACCTAGCTAGGTACCAAGTTTGACAAGGGCGTGATATGCTGGGTAAAGTTTTCCAACTATGATGGCTTTTGAACATAACGGCTGGATGGTCCAGGTTTATTTCTTTGCTTCGTTCCAAAACCTACTGATACCCTGCCAAACCCCTTCCGGGCTGGGTTGCTCCGCGCAGACATCAGGCTCATAGCCAAAGTTCTTGACAAGATGAAGGCGAGTTGTCGGTCCGATGGTAGCAATGTACGTTTTCCTATCCTCCTGGTGAAAGTCGTCTCCCACCCTGCCGCTACTCTCGTTCAGCCATCCCAGGGCACTAAGCATGCCGTCGCAGCCACTTGGGGAGAACACCACGACCCATCTCGCCGGCCGGTCTCGGGTCTCTTGGAGAAGCTTTGTGAAATCTTGTTGGAAGGATTTCATAACACCGGTACCATAGACGACAACCTCTTTGATGCGAATGAACTTATCTGATGGTAAAGCAGGGTCCATCAACTTCTTGGGAATTATATCCCGCCTTTGCTCGCCAACCAGAAACAACAGCGGCGGCTTGATGGACCGGTCCTTATACCATTCGCCATAGTGTTCGATGATGTAGGGTGCCAATGTTTCACCGTTGCCAGTATGCTCACCAAAGACTTGGAGCGGCGGTTGTTGGGGAACTGCCTTCAACGCGCGGGTTGTCGCAGGGCCGACGCTGTAAACAGGGATATCTTGGAGATGGGGCCACCTGTCATCGCCTACATAGCTGTTATAAGGTTTGGCCTTTCGAAATGGATGCAGTACGTCTTACCTGTTACTTCTTGGACGAGGTGGGTGAAGGCTTCAACGGCACGTTGGGAGGTGAAGACAAGACCTCCGTAAGCACAGTCGAAGCCAGTTCCTATAGCTTTCGTCTTGAGAAGACTGCGCACCGTAGCTAAGCCCTCGTCCTTGAATCGATGTTCCAGAACGGGAACAAAGAAAGGCTCGAAATTAAAGCCATCCGTCTCGGAAGAGAATTGCTCCTGGTACGCGTCCCCAGGAGTGGATTTTGTCTTCAACAGAAAGACGGGGGTCTTTTGCGACATGTTGACTCTGCCTTGTTGCTTCCCGCAATATGACACACAGAGTCAGGGCAGGAGAGAACCTTTCCTCTGGTCTACCGATTTCATATCTTTACGTATGTGTAGTCACGGAGTGGGGCCCGCGACCGGCAAGAGCCGCCCCACTATTATCGGCCAAGTGCGCCGGCATGGCGGCATAGCTTTATCGATAAGCGGAGAGCAAGGATCACGCCGTTATACGGTTCAAGTCGCTGTTCCGATCGGGAACCGTCATTTGGTTGATTTCTAATCCTCGAGGCGGGTTCGATACAGTCAAAAACACATATCTGCGTGCCTCGAAGAGAGCGTTCACTCGTGCAACCGTCGAGCCTCTACACCACCGCTCATCCGCCACCTGTGGATACGTTTAACAATGCCAACGAACGTCACAGACAACGACCCTGCGCAAAGCGGCGCAACAGCGACGGCTCCGGTCGATGGCAGCGCAACAGAGCCACCCAAGAAATTCCCCAAGGGTGTTGTGCTGGGCAAGGATGGAAAGCCGTAGGTTCTATCCAGAGTACGGACTTCAAGGTTCAACATCATGTCACTGATGCGACTTCTTAGTTGTCGTTCTTGCACCTCCTTCGGTGCCTGGGCGTCCCAGGCCAAGGCTACCCTAAAGACGAGTCACGACATGTCCTCAACTGCGCCTTCTACGATTGCGTCGGCAGCTACATCATCAACCAGGAGAACAGACTGCCCAGCTGATGTTGAAACTCTCGGGCGAAGCTCCTGGACTCTTCTCCACTCGATCGCCGCGACCTACCCTCCCGCCCCGACTCCAACCGAACAAAATGATCTAAAGTCCTTCATGAGCTTGTTCGCAAAGCTGTACCCTTGCTGGGTATGCGCCGAAGATTTCCAACAATACATAAAGAAAGAAGAACCGAAAACAGGCAGCAGGGACGAGTTTGGAAATTGGCTGTGTGAGGCGCACAATGAAGTCAACAGGAAGTTGGGCAAGCCCACGTTTGACTGCTCCAAGTGGCAGGAAAGGTGGAGGACTGGGTGGAAGGATGGAAGCTGCGATTGATCCGCGACATCTCTATTATTATAGCGACCTGAGAAATCTCAGCCCTCCCCGGTGACAGAAGGTTGTATCTATACAAACGTCTGGTTGTTAGATGGTGGTGGCGATGGTGTTTTTTTGCATACGCAGCATGGCGAGGCGCATTGGCGTTGTATGTCTTTTCTGCCTACCTAAGGTAGGTTAGGTTTCTGATCTCCTGTCTATCCCATTCTTTGGCATCGGGAGTCGCAATGGCATGGTTCTCTACTCCTGCTCAGGTTACCGGTTACCACATGACTGAAAAGGGCGATAAAAGAACCGAAGGGAGCAAGCAGTGCAGTGGAGCGACACTCAGGTAGCGGGCTGCAGGTACCTACTTGCTATGCTACTCGTACCTGCTGCTCCACCAAGCGGCATGTACCTATGTACTCCCCGTATGTATGGACTTCACCCCACCACCAACTTCAACTCAAATCCATGACATCACAGGAAGCAGCTATCGCCGACACTAACTCGTGGAAAGGACGAACAATCCCATGCCCGGTATCCGGGCCCTTCCGGCCCCTCGAATCGACAATGCATCTTGTCATACTTAGTGGGTACATAGGCACATATCGACTGGTAGATGCTTCCCCTCACTCAACAAAACAGCTCCAGCCAGCTCTTCACCTTGGACTCTCTTACCTCTACTTATTCACATCACTTCTCGCTGCCCTTGCTTATCCTGCTGCTTCGATACCTACACCTACACACACCATCCTCCTAACACAACACTCGTAATATACCCCATCAATACATCGCAGACAAGCCAGACCGGGTCTGACAACCTACCGCAACACACGAGATTACATGAGAACTTCCATATAACCCACCCAAAAACATGTCAGACATCCGGACACAGAGTCTGCAGAAGCCCGTGACAGTGGCTGAGTATCTCTTTAGAAGATTGCATCAAATCGGCATCCGCTCAGTCCACGGCCTGCCAGGAGACTTCAACCTGGTTGCTCTCGACTACGTTCCTAAAGCCGGGTTGAAATGGGTTGGTAGCGTGAACGAGCTCAACGCTGGTATGTCTACTTCTCTATTCCCACAAGCATGATCGCTGATATCAAACAACGTTAGCCTATGCCGCCGACGGCTACGCCCGTGCCAAGGGTATCTCTGCCCTTGTAACCACATTCGGTGTTGGCGAACTATCCGCCATCAACGGTGTTGCCGGTGCTTACTCTGAGCATGTCCCTATCGTCCATATCGTCGGCTGCCCTTCGACCATCTCCCAGCGCAATGGCATGCTTCTACACCATACCCTCGGTAACGGTGACTTCCACGTTTTTGCCAATATGAGCGAAAATATCTCTTGCGACGTTGCCAAGCTAGTTAAACCTAGTGAGATCGCCTACCAGATTGACCATGCGATCCGGGAGTGCTGGATCCGCAGCCGGCCCGTGTACATTTGGCTACCTACCGACATGGTTGAGAAGAAGATCGAGGGCGCTAGATTGGACACAGAGATTGATCTCTCCGAGCCGGAGAATGATCCCGACAGAGAGGACTATGTCGTCGATGTGGTCCTCAGATACCTCCATGGAGCCAAGAATCCGGTGGTCCTGGTCGACGCATGCGCAATCCGCCATAGGGTTACTGAAGAAGTCAAACGGTTCATTGACAAGACCAAGCTTCCGGTGTTTGTTACACCCATGGGCAAGGGTGCCTTCGATGAAACGTCCGAGCACTACGGTGGTGTCTATGCTGGCACCGGCTCTCTTCCCGAAGTTGCTAAGCGCGTTGAGGGTTCTGATTTGGTTTTGTCCATTGGCGCGATCAAAAGTGACTTCAACACTGCTGGCTTCTCGTATCACACCTCACAACTGAATACCATCGATTTGCATAGCGACCATTGCACTGTGCGCTACTCCGAGTATCCTGGCGTTGCAATGAGGGGTGTGCTCCGGAAGGTCACTGAGCGCATCGACATGTCCAAGCTCTCGATAACCCCTTCTCCCCCGGTCGAGAATGCTGTAGCTGAGAACAGGGATGACTCGCAGGCCATCACTCAGGCGTGGTTCTGGCCAAGAGTAGGCGAGTACTTCCAGGAAGGAGATGTCGTTGTTACCGAAACGGGCACAGCCAACTTCGGCATCTGGGAAAGCAGATTCCCCAAGGGCGTCATGGGGGTGACGCAGGTACTATGGGGAAGTATCGGCTGGTCGGTAGGCGCTGCCCAGGGCGCGGCACTGGCAGTGAAGGATCTTGAACAAGATAGGCGAACAATCTTGTTCGTGGGTGATGGTAGTTTTCAACTGACTTGCCAGGAAGTCAACACGATGCTGAAACATAACTTGAGGGTCACCATGTAAGTGCTCCCGTTTTTTATCCCTCGTATTCTGTTTAGGGTTAGCTTGACGAGCTTCGACTAACTGGATTGCCTCAAAGCTTCCTCATCTACAACGAAGGCTACACTATCGAACGTTACATCCATGGCATGGACGCGGATTACAACGATATCACCCGCTGGAACTATACCGATATCCCCGCGGTCTTTGGCGCCAAGGAAGGCCAGTCTCAGAAGTTCGTCATCAAGACAAAGGATGAGTTGGAGAGGCTCCTCAAAGACAAAGATTTCAACGAGTATAAAGGCCTGCAGTTTGTAGAGTTGTGGATGCCAAAGGATGATGCGCCGCGGGCGTTGAAGCTCACGGCCGAAATTTCGGCGAGGAACAACTCTAGGATTGAGGATGAGCAGTGAGAGGCAATAGCATGAACTGCACACATGTCCTGCTGTGGAGAGGGGTTTATGAACTTATAACGAAGTGAAATACTGTAGCGGGTTTGGGTTACCATGATGAGGTTATGCTACAATGATCATAGAGAGAAACTTTGATCCATGGATTGAAGTCAGAGAAACGAGAAATTACGTTAGAGGTACACCTGAATAAAACGTGCTGTGCCCGTATACATATAAGATGGCAGGTAATTCCATCCAGTTGGTAATTATAGTTTAATGATATTGGGTGTTAGATGAAAGGCCGAAAGATGTAAGTTAAGTGTCAAATGGCATTGCCAAGATCGGAAAATGTTGACGAGAGAATGGAAGAAACGAAAAAAAAAAAGGATCAACTGATGGATAATTTAACAGAATTAAGGAAAAGAAACCAAGAGAGATAGATGATCAGCATCGCTAACGAAACCCAGAAAAAGGAATTTCATCTGAGACTTGGTTGGGGGGCCCTGGGAATGTGCAAAAAGATTAGGTCTCTCCCGCCGGGAATTGAACCCGGGTCTCGAGCGAATCGAACCGATGTTCAAGCTTGACAAGCTCACATACTGACCACTATACTACGGAAGATATACAACTGTTCATCAGTTGTCGTAGCAGTTCAACGGAAATTACTTTCGCAATTTGAACTTATATAATCAAATACCTAACTTCACCCTGCACGCAAATGCCCTTGTTGCTCGCGATTCTGTCTTTGGCTTGTTGACCTGAATGCATCACTATAAACGAAGTTATGAAGTTGATACTATTCTTGCATTATGCTCAAAGAAGACAAAAGGAAAAAGACGTGTGTTACGTTGGAGCTTCCAAATAAGTTCATGTGAGTGGCAGAGCGCCAAAACAGCCAAGGGACAAAAGTGAACGTTATTCTAGAACCTTGAGATGGCGATGGTGGATGTTAAACAACGCTGCTTGGGAATTTCCCATCAGGACTGTATGTATACATTTGCTTATATCTCATGTGTTTAAATATCCCATCGTTTCGTACACTACATCGCCGTTCCCCAGTGTCATTTATTCTGGGGATATGCACTATATGGAGTCGCATCGCTGCGTTTCCCAGACCCAGACAAACCTTAAACGCCTGAGAAATGTGCAAGACCAAGATGAACTGTGAAGAGGCATAATCATCAAAGACAGCATATATATATATTATATGATACCTACGTTCAGGACACCAAGACCACTTGTAATTCACTACAATGCTAACTAACCAAATCTTTTAAATTGCCCGTCCCAAAATGTTTTGCCCTCAATCCCTTCCAACACTCACACTTGCACCCCTCACCCTCCCATAACCTCTAGTATCCCCAGACCCGGCAGACTTATAACCTACATCCGGCCCCGGATCACTCCACTCATCCAAACTCACGACACCGCTCGAATACGAGTACCTCATTGAGCCGCCCAAGCTCTCCTGGCGGGTATGAGCACTGGGTGGATGTCTAGGGCCTGTCACTGCTGATAGCGTCCCTTGGCTTGCCACGACTTGCGGGACACCGCCCAGAAGCTCAGGGCGCTCCAAGTCAAAAGGGTCTGACCGGAATTTATTGCGATGGGTGGTGAACGAGTCGATGCTTTCGCGGTAGGTGCGGGTGCTGGGTTGTCGACTTGGGTTTCCATTTGCCGTCGTGCTAGCAGAAATACTGATTGGATGACCGCGTGGTTGTCGGCGGCGGTCCTCGATGCCGTAGTTGGTCGCTGTCGGCGGTTTGGAGATTGTGGTGGTGGCGTCATTGTGAAGGTTTCGAACAGGATAAGGAGGGTCGCTGGCAGGGTTGTCGGAACGGCCAAGACCGGCGGCAAGGGGCGCTGGTATGGCTGATATATGGGTGAGCAAGTTGTTGTCTCTGAAGGGGTTGTCGCCCTCGTCGAGGTACAGTGGCCGTGCTGTTGGCACTTTGTCTCTGCTTCCACTACCACTGTCCTGGGGCGCGACGCTCAGATGTTGCTGCCCTTGGCCTTGCGCTTCTCGGCCGAGATCACCATCGTCCATGGCTATCAACGTTAGAAAGTCGGGTTGGTACCTGAGTCTGGCCTTCCGTTCACTTGTGTTTTCCGCGTCAAAATGTCTGTTTCGCACAACCTCATCGTTGCGCATGTTGCGTAGCCATTTGCTGATACGCATGTGGGATGCCATTCGAGACCACCAATTCGACATGCTGCCTTTGACCGACCCCGTTCCTTTCGCCTTGTCGGTGAAAGCTAGCGATGGGTTCCGACTGTGTGTGCTGAGTTCCTCAAATCGAGGGCCCCGTTTCAAAGGCGATAGCAGGATGCTAGGTTCGGAAAAGGCTTGACTGATGCGCTCTCGGATCCTTTCGACCTTGTAACCTAGGGCGGCCTTTGCCTTCACGAGCCCCGGTGTTGGGCCAATGCTGCGTCGACTGATGATATAAGGCGTCTTCTCATTTGGGTCTGTGCCAGGACCAGTACCCAGAGGTGTCAAAAGAGTGCTCCTTCTCTTCTGCAATCTCCGTCGTCGCCACAGCCACAAGAAGAGTCCGATGAGACTGAGGACCACAAGACCACTGAGCACACCTCCAGCCACCTTCGCGGCTTCGCTGTTATGAGCGCTTGGAACTGAACTTATGGTGGGGAATGAAGTTGGGTTTTCCGTGGCCTGTACTACATTGCTGGTTGAGGATGGCTGGAGGTTTGCGCCTGTGCTAGCAAAAGGCGTTACTACCGCATCATCAGGGAATATTTCTGACGCTGTTTCTGTCACGATGCTTGTCTCCGCTGAAGTCTCAGTCTCATTGCTCACAGAATATTGCTCGGCTTCCGGTGATGATGTTGGGAGCAAAGACGAAGAGGTGCTCGTGACAGTTGGGGTAGGTATTGTGGTCAATATGCTCGTCGTACTTGTTGAACTGGGAAATATACTGTCTTTGAGCGGCGGAGGCGGGCTCGCACTGGTGTTGACTGGCACCGTAGTCTCATCCCTTGTTGTCGCTTCTGTCGTTGTTGTCGTCGTCGACCTCGTTGTCGTTGCCGGCAACCGAGAATCGCGACCTGTTGCTGTTCGAACATTGCTGAATTGGACAGCTTTGAGTATTGCTGTACATCGCTTGCCTCCGGTGGTTGTGAAAATGAACGACCTTGCTGATGAAGGAAGATTAGGTGATGACATGCTGGAACTCGATCACTGTACCTCCGTGCCGGCGAATCCAGTCGCAAAGCATACGAGGATAATTAATATTGGTATGATGGCTAAAACGACACGCCAGGTGAACGAAGAGAATAGTTGGGCCTCGCGGGCCTGTCTATGTCGGTATAATCATGAACCCTTTGCGAGTGGTGAGGAAGATGGTCCCTAAACAAGCAAAGCTTGGGGTGTCGTAGAGCAGACCATCACTTGATGGCTCGAGGACGACAGAAATAGGAGCCGCCCCAGCAGCCCATTTCCCTCGGCAGCGCATTGGAACCGAGCCACCTAGCCTCCTCATGGCTCCTCTGATGATGGCATCGGGGGCATGGTGAGGTAGGAAGAGCATAGGCGTGTGTTTGAGAACAGAACCCATGTACTTTGATTGGTAGATGGGAAGTGTAATAACGACGTGATGTCCGAAATGGAACCAAAGTACGGCTCACGAACACCGAGAACACGGTCGAGACGAACCACGGCTGTCGTCAACGCGGCTCTAACATCAAGGGGTAGGCGCATGTTGGTGTCGCTTAGACGGGCAAATCCCTGTCTTGCGACACTCCTGAAGCACACTCCTTGGTGTTGAGAGTAGCATCGTGAATGTTTCAAGGAAATATGTTTGGAGCCGGAAAGCCACCCGTCAGCTGCTACCATGGCACCTCGATTGTTGTTCGCTACAGAAAAATAGCGGAGGCGACTGGAGGAGGTAGCAGATCTGAGAGAGCTCAAGCATGCACAAACCGTTCAGTTCAGACAATCGATTGCGAGGCCAATTGCAACAGTCTTCTTGACCGGGTCTGAAGCACCGACTTCAAAGCCTCGGCGCCAGTTGTATTTTTGTTCTCTTGTGTTTTGCTCAATGATGATGCCGAAGGAGAGATCCACGGTCAGACAAGGGACGGGGCAGATGCACGGCGCCATGACGCTTTTGGTTGCCTGCATTGCTTGTAACACAGTGGTGGGTAAAATTACGCTGTTCATGTACCCGCCAGGTCTGCTCAAGAGGAGCAAATTCCATCGAGGGGTGGGAAGCTGTACACACTTCAAGTTAGAGGTACCTTCCATTATGTAGGTTCTGCAAGACCGGGCGTCCGGTAGCCGAGCCGGAAGCGCAGGTGGACGGCATCTCGGGGCGAACACACTCTGGAGGAATCGGGTACTGCCCTGTGGTAAGTACATAGAGGTAGGTATGTAGATCCCTCTACATAGTAGTGGGTGCCTTAGGTCGGGGTGTCCCGGGCAATGGGCGGGCGGGCACGGGGCTCCAAGTAGGTAGTGTACCGTCTACCGGGAACAGACTCCTTGTGGGCTGCCGACGCCCGCCGCCATATGTACACTACACTAGTAGTTCGCAGCGTCAGCCCAGTCCCAGCACTGTAAACCAGGTAGGTGACTACCTACACAAGCGGGCGGGGTTGCAGGTCCGTTGCAGGCGGAACATGGAAGAGCTCCCGAACGGTCGACGCGGCGCGTGATCCCTGTGCCCGGCCACCGCCAAAACAGGCAGGCGCTGTGACCCTTGAACCCCTGACTTGCAAAGGCATGCGGGGTCGTCTCTGATGGGAACGGCGTGGAAACCCTCACCGTCACCTTCTCTTCGACGGAATGGCAACGAAGAGAAGCGTTCTCTCAAACTTTGGCCATGATCACCCAAGGCAACGTAACGGTAACGGCCCGCTGCGCTAGCGGAACGGAGACTGGGCGATTGTGGGCGACTGGGCGGCCCAAACGAGCTTCCCAAATCATTCGACCACGAATTCCGTCCGAACCGGCTTGTCCCCGTGGCGGCCGCACAACCCCAGGCCATCGGGCCAGACACGCCAGAGCTCCTCGAACACATCGATATCACCCAGGGTTGGCACGTTGGCTCCAGGGGCACCAGGGTCGGGCCCAGGGGCGACCCTCTCTTCCGTGATCTTCTTCCATCTCAAGGCTGTCTCTACAACCAACAACAGCATCCCCTCCTTTCTCCACAAACATCTCCTGTTACCTGTTTCCCGCCGCCGCTCTTGTGCAACAGAGAGCACGACATCCGCCTGAGTCGGCGGTCTACTGAAAGTCCCGGCTCCGCGTCACGGTGCCCGCCCATCCTACCTTGTCGGTTGCCGGCGCAACGTCTTCCGCTCATCACCGACGCCGAACCCCTCGGTAGTACGGTACCGTTGCCGTGTCCTCCCACTGCAGTAGCCATCATGTTTGGGAACTTTGCCCACTTGAGTGTGTTCTTCAGTCCCCCTTTTTTTGCTGTACATAGACCGTCTGGCCGAGCTGTGCTAACCATTCCGTTTAGTTCCCTTGGCCACAGCGCCTCAAGGGCCGCCCAAGGACGTCCCTCCACCCACGCCCGTCAACTTTCCGTGCTTCTATCCCCAAGTTCAAGATGACCAACAAACAGCACCGGGAGCCGCAGACGAAACACCAAAGTCGGTTGTCACCTTGTTGCAGGGCATAGTCCGCCCAGCCCAGCTGGCCGTTGCCCATTTTGAGGCTCTCGGAGTCCATGTAGTGCCAAACTCTACGGCGGCGGACCTCATCCCTGATCCGTCTTATATCCCGGATTTCGCTGCTTGGGATGAGCTCTCATCCGATGCAGCTCACGAGGTGAACGAGAGCACCAGGGTCCCACTGGTTTCGGGAAACCGCTCTCCCGGCTGCAATACTTACCTGGAGCGTAAGCGTGAGCTGTTGTTTCCTAATGAGACCGGCTACCGGACTGTTCGCCGCATCCAACCTCCAAAGGGCCAGAGCCACGCCCGGCTGGGAAACTGCTACGAGTTCTTCCGTCAGCTCGACACACTATCCAACTATTGGGATGACACCTCGGTAACAGAACAGTCAGCTCCGGAAGGCGAAGAAGAAGACAAGGACGCTCTGGCCTCCAAGCCTCGACGGACCGGCGCCGGCAATCAGATGCCCCCTGACTTCCGCCAGCAGATGGTGCAAACCTTCTTGAAGCTTGTCGCGTACGACTTTGGCTGTAACACTGCGCCGGCTCGTGCTGAACCGAGGCTGCACATCACGTCTCGCAATTGTGGTTCTGCCCGTAGCTCCTACTTCTCTTCCGGTTGCACTTTCATGTACAAGACCCCGACCACTAGGGAAGAAGCCCGCGCCGGTATTGTTGAAGGACCTGTGGCGGCCGTAAGTGCTAGGCATTCCACTGGCTTCCTACCCCCACCCGAGGACCCGAACGAGTCTTCCACCGACCCGGACGCCGTCTTTGATTTGGGCCGCGAGTTGGTTGCCGCGCTAGTAACGGCCCAGCATCGAGCCCGCGAGGGTCGCACCGAGAAGCGCATCGGCGAAGGTGCCTGGTGGTGCACCAAGCCTCGATGGGGCGGTGGCCCCGGCGGCCCCATTGGCCGTGAGATTGAACAGCAGACCAGTGGCGACGACACACTCGTTGGAGACAAGGACGCGCCCCCTTCGGCTGCTGCTCCTGCCGAGAAGCCCACAAAGGTGACCATCTCTTCCCGACTTGCCTCCCGCGCTTCCCCGTTTGGCCCCTTGCCCAGCACACGTCTCCCAGAAAGAGAGAAGGAGTCTAGCTCGGGACCGGCCAAGGGCGTCAAGCGCCTGAAGAAGTCGGGTAATATGGCCATGTACGACAACTACCGCATGGTTCGCCCTCCGGCCCTGACTTGGGACAAGAAGGCCAAGTACGCCGCCATTGGCAGAGCTGCAGGCGCAGAGTACGATGACATTTTTGTGGTCAGTGCCTTGTATCACCACATCAGCATTGTAAGAGTGCGGGTGCCCGATCAGCTAATGGCGGTTTTGGAGGGCCGCGCCGAGCACGAGTTTGAGAACGGGAAGCGAAGCTGGGGAAGGCTGGAAGTGAGGAGGAGCAAGTGGTTTGACCTCTTCAAGCCTGGGGACAGAGTGGAGGCCATGAAGCTCGTCTGGTGCATGATGAATTGGTTGATGAGGGCCATGCCTAAGGATGAGGATAAAAAGGACGAGACTGATCAGGACCAGGAGGAAAAGAAGGACACGAAGAGTGAAAATGCGGGAAATCCTGCTGCAGCGACACCAGCAGGCAGCCAGAATGCTATTGAGCAAGTTAAGTACGAGGCCAAGCAGGAAGCGAAGGACGAGGTCAAAGAGGAGAATGCCGATGTGAAGATGGAAAATGCATAGACTGAGAAAATTGGCGTGCGTACGTACGTACCGACTACTGTATTTCCCTTTCTTCGTTCTGTCTTCTTCCCATTTGGCTTCTTGGATTCGGCCTGCTTTGTTATCAACGAGGGAATCCAACATCTATTGTACAGTATATTGAAAACGCTAATGAGTTTTCCAAGAGCATTCTTTGTGCTGAGCGCGATCGGTCAAGTGCAAAAGCTTGGCAAGTACAGGTCCTTCACTGAGCTTGGGCTATTATTGCCTGGTGCGCTACAAGTTAACTTGACACTTGCCGCCAATGTCATGGGTCGAATCTGATTAAAAGGTAATGCGAGACATCTTGTCGTTCATTCCCCATGCGAGGTTTGCATTTTGAGCGACATGCTGTTCACGCATCGTAGAAATGATATAGGCTTCCAAAATTCGTACTAATAATCAACATCTTCTAAATCCCCTTGTGGTGTAGTTGGCTATCACGTTCGGCTGTAATTGTACAGATTGTATACCGAAAGGTCACCGGCTCGATTCCGGTCGAGGGGACTTGTTCATTTTTTTATGTCTTTTTCATCCGTCGCCTTTTCCCGCACCAAATTTTTATGCTGATCTGAAGCGAGTCTTTTCCTTTTGATCTTGTGATCCCAGCAGCTTGGTGGACTCCGTTGCAGAAGACAGTGTAATCTTGGGCTTGGCAATCATATGGGTAAGGGTCATACTGCGGGAGTGCGGCTATTGAGGATCGTTTTTAGGGCTCCCTGCTGAATGTTGAAGGAGGTCTGGCAGTTGGACATCAAGACTTGTAGACTGACTTGCCTGGCATTTTGGAGCTATAGTGCAGAGGAGGATAACCTACCTTCCGACTTGATGGAAATCGATCTTAGTTGAAAAATCTAACCCAGGGGTTCTTCTGAGCGTTGCAACCTAATCGACGTAAAGAAATTTTGGAAGATCAACATCAACATATTGGTTATGTCGAAGGTTTATATGCAGTTATCACTTGTTAGGATGAAACTTTAAAAACTAAAATCTAACACCCTTAACCTGTACCCTATCATGAGCCTGGTCTAGTATTAGATTACCCATAGTCAAAGGATTATGTAGCTAATCTTTGTCATAGTAAAGACATATCAGTATGTCGCACTCTGATATTTACCTGGCCCTATGTAACTTTTGCCAGCACAGCCTCCATTCATATGTATCAGTTTTTTTTTCTTTCTGGTATTGCAGTGACCAAACCCATGAAGAGCTAGAACTACGCAGTATGGGAGGTGTGAGTGGAGACGGGAGCGAAATTGTGGGCTAAGTTAAACGCAAGCATTTTATATGTACCTAGGTATCTTTTAGAAGTCGGATGTTACCGAGTCCTCGGTAGCAAGCGACTTGTAAATTGTTTTGCAATACTTAACCGTGCAGGTTACGCAGATCACATACCCAGAGCCTTTGAGCCTCACCGACCGACGACGATGATGAGCATGGAAATCGGCTTGAAAGGGCATAGCCCACCGGCCACCCCATCGGGGTACAGTGTCAGTCTGTCCCAGACAGAAGGCATGGGAATGCAGGGCGCCGCTTTTGCTTTTGCGGCCGAGGGTTCGATTTAAAACCCCGGGGATCTGCTATGGTCACAGCCTCATTCTACGTATGTAGTGATGGCAGTACAGTATGACCAAAGACTAAAGACTGCCACAAAAAGGCTGAGATGTAGTTCAAGCGGGCGTCTGATCTAGCAGATGCAGAACGTCCTCGTTTGTGGCCATGCTCTCTCGGCCTGTCCCTTATTGGCCCACGTACCCAAAAGACTTGGGCCGTTCGTCGTCGGGATCCAGCAGTCTGCGGCAGAATGCGTCGCTTCCAACAAATGGCAATTACACAAAACAATCAAGTCCATTGGGGTTTGGACGTCTAAAGACATTCGAGCATATCTGTTATGCCGAACATATTACCCTTGCTAGGCATCGAAGACAAACGGCCCAAGTCTTTTTGGTCGGTCGGTGGGATAGGTGTGGGGAAACCTTGACTCGGATGTGGTAGGGTTTGGCGCGCGCCATCTAAGATCGAGAACTAGACGTTCCCCGGACTCTAGCAACGAAGAATGCAATTTCGGTTCGCTAACCTGCAGGACTCTGATGTCGAAGTGCCACATCTGGACACCTCGACTGTGGTATTGAGCTTCGATGTCGGTTGATCGAGCCCGTCTGTTTTACTCTATGTAGTAGTCCACGCAGTATGTAGTGTAGATGCGATTTGGTTTTCCACCTGGCTGTCCCTATCTGCAGAGAGGAGTTTCATTAGATTTATGGCGCCGGCGATTACAGTTCAGCAGCGATCACACGGTAATTTGACCTATCATATACTCAACATGCTGTCGAGCTAGCTTCACTCGGCTGCGTGCATTCGGATACCGGAGATATTGGAGACCGACCAGCGAACCTTTCTGCAACCGGGAGACCCGGCCAGCCAACCACAAGAGCTGCGGAACTGACACTGACCGAAATGGCCTCGGTCGTCCCGAAGCTTCGATGTCTGGAAGCAAAAGCCGAATGCCGTACGCCGCGGGAGGGGGGCAAGTCTGAGAGACTGCCGGGCCGGGGATCGTGGCAAAAGAACGTCTTCGGTCACAAGCCACAATGACCCGGCGGAGGTAACCTTCGTTTACCGTCGACTTTTGCGTTTTGCGCTGTGGAATACAGATGCTCGGTTGTGATCACAACAGACTGGGTGTCCTGGATTCCAAGTTCGTCCAGCTTGCGGATTCTCCTCGTGCGTTTCTCACTACCCTTTTCTAATTTGTTCCCACTCGAGTAACCGTGGATGGACGATGAAACCTTTCAACTTATGGGCTTGCGTCTGCGATATTAGTTTCTTTCCTTTTTCCATAGGGCATTGGGGTTGTGTGGTGAATTTGCTGGATGCGATACGTTCAGTTACGACGGCCCGGGGCGGGACCCTCAAGTGGGCTAGACCCCCGAGCGTCTTTTTTCCCCGCCAGCGGCAGCAGGTAGAGGCGTACTGAGGGCTAGTGGGCTGTAGAAAAGAGCTGAATAGCCGTTGTGATATCTAACCGTCAAAGCGATCAAAGGACTTGCCGATGGCGTATGACGACCTGGAGAGAAGGCTAGCGACGTTGATCGTTCGATGTTGCCCGTCACCATGCACCGGTGATTGCGACTGTGCGGAAGAGGTTTGCTGTTGCTCAGTCTTGCGCCTCCATGCCCGTGAAGTGTCTGTTGCTCGATGCCATGCCGTTACATCAATGGCATGCATCCCTCTACATACATACACTCCGTACACTACAGGCAACAGGTCTGTATACTTACTCCATAGGTGGGTATGTTTAGAGATATGGATTCAAACATGACATGAAGGAGTGCCCGGTCAAAGAAGGTATGGAACATTTGCTAGTTTATAGGACTCTTTGACCTCCTGGCGCAACTCCATCACAACTCGCAGTTGTGGTGTCGTAGAGGTAGACATGTAGCTAAGTATGTACACTAGGTAAGTATCTCGTCACTCCTCGTCTAAACTTTCGAGGGTTTCGATCGCTCCTTCCCAGATTCGGGATCCGCACTCCACGTTGCTTGGCGTTGATCACAGCAAAAGTGGAAGGGAAGCCTTTCCTTTCGTGCTGCCCCGCTTGAATCTCGTCCAATCACAACTTGGAGTGTTGCGCTGCTGATCTATGTATCTGGTCTATCAATAAACGTGGCTGTTGATATGGTCACAGGCAGCTTGGGCGTTGAGGCAGCATAGTGAGATACTTCCAGTTGCAGACATAGACGCCACCCAACGACTCGGAATGTTCGCAGTGGGAACTTTTCCTCGAGAGAGGTGAGTGGAGAGTCCACTGCACGTCCAGTACTACCCTCCCTGCCCTGGAGCAGCAACCTGGCGACAGCAGCTTGCCCGCTCTTGGCCATTCCCGTCCACACAGCGGGCAATATGGACATCCGGATCCCACACGCTGCACCCATTTGCTTGCCCTGTGGTGGCCTTGGTTCCAGTTGACCTCAATCCCCGTCCGAAACATCGCGACGAACCCATACCGTCGCCTCTTTCCCACTCTTTCCTGCTCAACGACCCCGGCCCTTGCGACCCAACATCACCAAGCCTCTTCGACTCCCTGCATGTGAGTTGTCCCCAAATCAGCTTTTTGACCGCTCTCTCGGGTACATGTCCTGCACCCTCAGACCCTCTGTACAGTCGGGCGGAACATTGACTCCAGTTTTGGTTCGGTCATGGTTCTCGACTTGCGCCATCCCGTGCTTCTTCCCTGACTCGGCCCGTCTGCCTGCTCCAAATCGGTTGTATCCAATGCATCGCTGCTCCCATTACTGACCTGGTGCCTGTCTTTTAAGAATCTAGCCTCGCTCCTCCCCTCCAATCCATCATATACCGGCCCAGCGGCCTCACTTCATCAACGCCGCCCTCCCTCGACGCTCCACCCTATCTTCAATCTCGTCTTCACGCCCGTCTGATCCCAAATCCAACCGCGCCCTCCAGCCTCTCTGCCACTACACCAAGACTTTAGTCTCCGGATCCTACTTACAAAAGCCACGACGGGTCACTTCGCCGAGCCTCCTCGATCTTGCACTATCTGTCTCTAATTCAATCCAGCCGCCGATCATGTCTGGATACCCCGGCGCGGGTTACAATGGAGGAGGCTACGTCCCGCCGCCTCAACCACAATATGGCGGCTACTACCCTCCGTATGTTTATACAACTACACTCGTAGCCTTGTTCTTCAAACTGCGGTTCTAACTTTGGCAGCCAACCTGCCTATAATGCCTATCAACAGCCGCCTCCTCAGCAGCAACAGTACATGGTTTACCACCAGCCCTCGCCTGGCCCCCAGCAACACCAGCACTGGAATGCACAGCAGCAGGTCCGTCTCAAGCCCATTACCACAACCAACATCCACGTACCTAGAGGAGTACTAAAGACGAGTCGCAAATAGACGCCTGCACCACAGGGATATGGCAATCCTCCAAACTCCCATTACGGCAGACCCGGTGAGTGCTAGCTAGAATAGAACCCCCCCGCCAGGCTGGAGTGTAGCTTCTGACTATGCCTTCAGAGGCGAACATGCCAACGGTGAATTCGAATTCGTACGCGCACGGGAACCACCAAGCACCCCCGCCTCCTCCCCAGGCGCCTCAGCAATTTGGATATGGCGCTCCAGCGGACTATGCCTTTCGATATTCGCAGTGCAATGGCCGACACAAAGCCTTGCTCATCGGCATAAACTACTTTGGTCAGCGGGGCCAGCTAAGAGGATGCATCAACGATGTCAGGAACATGTCATCATATCTCGTCGAGCATTTCAGGTACAAGCGCGAGGATATGGTGATTCTCACCGATGACCAGCAAAATCCCATGAGTCAGCCTACCAAGCAAAACATCCTTAGGGCAATGCACTGGTTGGTCAAGGATGCTAGGCCCAACGACTCGTTATTCTTCCACTACTCCGGTAAGCACCTGAAATGATCTTCTCCCAAATTTCGTAAGGTTTGCTTCTGACGGTCGAACTTGCTAGGGCATGGAGGCCAAACCAAAGATCTCGACGGCGACGAGGAAGATGGGTACGACGAAGTTATATATCCAGTCGATTTCCGACAAGTGGGACACATCACCGACGACGAAATGCACCGCATCATGGTCCGACCGTTACAAGCCGGCGTTCGGCTGACCGCTATCTTCGACTCATGCCACTCGGGAACTGCGCTCGATTTGCCCTATATTTACTCAACCCAGGGCATTCTCAAGGAGCCCAACCTGGCCAAGGAAGCTGGCCAAGGTCTTCTTGGAGCCATCTCATCCTACAGCCAAGGCGACCTCTACGGCGTGGCGAACAACATCATGGGGATTTTCAAAAAGGCTACCGGCGGTAACGATGCCCATGCAAGAACCTTGGCTACGAAGACGTCACCCGCCGATGTTGTTATGTTCTCCGGAAGCAAAGATGACCAGACCTCGTTCGTACACCCCTCTATTATCGTTTCTTGCTCTTGAAATACTTTATTTCTGCTCTCTTTCTCTTTTGGCGCAGGCATAGTATGTTTGGGAGCAAGAGCTACTGGGTATTTAGGGTTTTGTCAAGTGGGCACAGCAAAGGCGTCACTTAGCATACTTTTTGTACATACATTCAGCCCACGCTCTAGATGCAAAGTACAACCATCATTATGGTTGTGACTTTGCGTCTAGGGCGACGAGTCACGTTGGATTACCCCTCCATTTCCTCCCCGAGACGTAATTATCTGTCCCTTGTCAAGATTCACTGGCTAACCTCGATGTCTCTCTCACAGAGCCGACGCCACAATTGCTTCACAAGCCACAGGGGCTATGTCCTGGGCCTTCATCAACGCCCTCAAGAAGAACCCCCAGCAGAGCTATGTCCAGCTGCTCAACAGCATCCGAGACGAACTGCAAATGCGTTACACACAGAAGCCTCAGCTGTCGTGTAGCCACCCTCTTGGTGAGGCTTCCTCCTCTTCACATTCCTCGTCATCATTCTATAACCCCTCATCAAGCCGTTATCTGGTGACCACGTTTAAGATTTGAGTTGCATATATACCCTTTATAGGAAACTCGAGGAGAAGTGTCTGTTTGGGTTTCTTTTACCTGCATTGCGTTGCGTGGACCGTCTTTTTGCGGGGCTGGCTGGGAAAATTAGACATTGTAATGGACACACAGAACACACTATGATGACGAGCAAAACGACCCAAGATAAGAAGAACAAGCTGACTAACTTTGGTGATGCAAACTATAAAGATACGAATCTCCTGTTCGTTATGTGAAGCAATCGAAAACAGTGTATTCCATCGATTGGTCGCTAGGAACTCATTTCTGTTCCACAGAAAGGCGAACTGATTTGCGGTCGACTGGTCGACACGCCTGGGTAGGGTATCACTAGGGGAAAATGGCAACCGGCTTGTCAGGTCTTTCGCGGGGTGTTGGGCATGATCAGGACCTGAAGTGAATGTTAATGTGAGGGACGTTGGACCGAGGCTGTTGGTGTTTATCTCGTCTGCCATTTGATTGGCAGGCCAGGGATGATAGGGCAATTGAGTGGACTGTGTCTGGGTCTTTGTGCATCTGGAAGGTCACCTTATCTCTTCGATTTGGACATAGACACAGATAACCACTTCCAGTCTTATTGTGCAGTCATGAATAATAGCGAAGAGCCGCTTCAGGCCTCAAGGTTTGTCTCTTCATTGACACACAGTATTGCAGGTTAGGGGGAGAAGGTAAGCCAACGATGTCTCGTTTCAATCTATGCGTGGTTCAATCTTAAAGACCTCGCTGTTAAATGAGATTATTGTCCCTCTCCGCCTATCGACGCTCTTTCTTTCGGCTGGCTACGAGCCATTTGATCCATCATCAAATTCCTCCAAAACCCACGATTTACTTGTAATCTATCATTATCTGAGAAGGACGTTGTTGAAGTTTTCAAGACTCCCTTCATGATGGGCATCCAAATATCTAGTCCACCAAGCACTGACAGATGGCATTTGCTTTTCCTAAGACTTGCCCTCTCCATCAGAATCCTCTTCATCACGCGGCAACGTCATGCCCATCAAGCCAAGCAAGTTGCCCGTTGGACCAGCCATGCCCGCCTGGCTCTTGAAGCTCTCCAGCAAGTTCTTGGCTAGATTATAGTCAACGCCGACCTCATCACCTTCCTCTTCTCCTTCCTCGTCGTTCATATCGTCATCATCATCATCACTCCCACCACCCCCCGCGGTCTTGACTATCTCTTGAACTGATGAAGCCTCGTGCACACCACCCTTTGATGCTCTCGCGGATCTAGTCTTGGCTTTTTGAGGGTCCAGTTGTAGTGCGCCGTAGGAGTTGAGTTCCTTTTCCATCTGAGCTATAAGAGCTTCGAATTCCTCTTGCTCATTGTGGCCCGTATCCATGCTCTTGTCTTTGTCCTTGTCATCATTGACGGTAAAAGAAACCTTTTCCTTGCCGTTGCCCTTGCCCTTCGTGCCAGGCTGTCGCGAGGCGCTCTCGGGTCCTGTGGTTGATGACGGTGATGATGATGATGTTGTTGTTGTTGTTGTTGTTGTTGCCGCCGTCATTGTCGTCGTCGGTATCCCCATCATCTCTCTCATCATTTTCGAGAACTGCTCTTCGTCGAAACTCACTTCCTTGTCTTCGTCCTCGCTGTCCATGTCAACATCCGAGTCTTCCAAGTCGTCATCATCATCCTGATCCATCTCATCGATTTCAGCTCCGTCAAGACCTGCTGTTTCGTCATTCAGAAATGCCTCAAACCGGGAGACGATCTTACGTAGATCGGCTTGTGTCGTGGCATCTCCAAAGGTCGGTACAGCGTGCCCCGCTATATCTCTGCCTTCACCAGCTTTGTTTTGTTGCCGCTGCTGCTGCTGCTGCTGCTCCGATTCTCCCTGCACCCCACCGCCGCCAGCTAACTCCCTCTCAAAATCCGCAAAATCGATATCCATCCAGCTATCATCATCCTCCCTATCCACATCCTTCCACTTCTTGATCTCCTCATCAGTCGGCAGCGCCGCCTCCTCGCCATCCTCCTTTAGATCCTCAAGCAACAGCGCCACCTCCCTCGCAACACGACTATCGCTCTTCTCAGCGCCGCGAGCAAGGATCTCAAAGCCCGTGGTGAGCTTCATGCCTATTTCCAACCTGGCGAGCGTCTGCAGCTTCTGCAAGGCTTGCTGCCGGGCCTCGCCCTCCGTTTCAGACGCAGACAATTCTTGGACTTGCGCAGTCTGGACAAAGTGCTCCCTCCAAACTGGTGGCGGATCAAAGTGCTGGGACTTGAGCTGGGCGTAGAGGACCTTGGTGAGGCGGACGCTGATGGTCACAAGGTCCTGTGGTGGGAACAGTAAGGAGTCCGGAGTAGCGGAGAGAAGCGGTTTAAGTGAGATGGGGTCGCGGAGGTAGAAGGCTTCGATAGCGGGTGCGACGGCCTTGGGGCGCTTATGGAGGATGTAGGCTAGTTTACGAGGAATGGTAACAAGGGCATGATGGAGGGAAGAGGTGATCTGGTCGGGATACTTCTCTAGTCGGTAGAAAGCTTCGGCTTCGATTAAGGGGGAGTGGATCAGGATGTTGGGGGTGGTTCTGATCACGGAGAGGGCTTCGTGGAGGGAGATTTGGTGGGCCTTTGATGAAGATGGCGAGGATGAGGAAGAAGAGGGAAGAAGGGGGATGATGCGTAATTGGCCGCGGTTGATCCATACGCGGTTGGCGTCCATCTCGGGGCTCAGCCATTTAGGCAGGACTTTGGCTGCTTCGATGAGGAGGAATTCGCCGTCGCTGTCGAAGATGCGGATCCATAGGTTGGGAAAGGAGAAGCTCAAGGTTCGGAGGAAATAAACTATCAGCCACTCGTCTTCGACATTATCACCGTAATCAGTACGACCATGAAGGTAAACTAAGCCTACCGTTGACTGTTCGGTTAGCATGAGTGCAAGGATTCTAGAAAGTGACTGAGAGCGCGGTAGCAAGGCGAGACGTACCATTCTCGATCCTCGTTTCGAACTTCAAAGCCTCGCGTTGCCAGATATAATCCTTGGTGAGCTCGTCAAGCCTTTGAAGGGCTACTTTCCTGATTGTTTCCAGACTCGAGAGGGTGGTTCTCTGGGCTTCAGGCTGATCGTTGATGAGGAAGAGCATGTACTCAACACAGTTTTCTGGGAGGCTCATTTGGAAGCCATTGAAGGCGTCGTCTCCGGGCCTTGGCTCATTGGTGGACTCCATCTTTGTTTTCAGTCTTCTACTCAAGGGGTTTCTTGCTTCTCAACTTTCAAGTGTCTAGAGGGGTGTGAGTGTCCCTTTACTGCGGATTGTTGACGCCTCGGGTCACTTGCGGTTGATTGCACGTGTACGTTATACTTGAAGAATGACACAATCGAAACAATCTAGTCCAGCCAATGAGCCTTCGAAATTGTCATTCAATTCGGCAGGGAATTTGTGGTTTTCTCGTGTGTTGAGCAGGTCCGTGTTGTTTGATCGGTGTCTACTCGCAAGTACATAGGGTACCTAGGCTACCTATTTGACTTTCGCTATCTAGAGGTACACGACGCACTGAGCAAGTGGGACAAGGGGGGGGGTAGACATGACCTTTATCATAGAGGTACCTTCTAGCTACCTGCCCGAAACGCGATCCCGTGACTTCGCTCGTAAAGCCGACGCGCCTGTGTACCTTTAGCGAAGAAGCCCGCTAATGGGACTCCGAACCATATGCGCTAAGTGGGGCGACCGGGCCCTTCAGTTGTGGTAAAGACCCGACCTGACCCCCCCGCGTTGGAACGCGTTTTCCACTTATCCATCAAACAGTGGACTGACTGCCTGTGCTTGCCTGTTGATGGCAGATGCGTATTCCCTTTGGAGTTGAGGGTTGAAAAAAGCCTCCCAAAGCAGATTCGAAAAAGAGGGAGTGCAGCGCTCGGCGCTCCTCGGCATCTGGGCTCTTTTACAACATTTATCTCTATCAACATTCCTCTCGAAACAAGCTTCTTCCATCCTGGGTTCTTTTTTTCTTCCACCCTCTCTGGTACTTGCGCAGGATCCTACCTACCCAGGTACGTACGGCTGGGTTCAGTCATTCAGAACTTCTGCCATGCCAGCGCGAACACTACTCGAAGCTGAGGCCAACGCCGAGTCCTCACGGAAACGTCAACGGCCGGCGCCCACGAGCGATGACAGCGAGGGAGAAATTGCCGCGGTTAGTCGTACAAACCATCTCTATCTGCATGCCGACGTCAATATATCTACACAGCCGCACGTTTCCTGAAACCCAGAAACCTACATGCTAACGTGCTACACAGCGCCCCAATGCCAATCAGGCTAAAAGAGCTCGTGTAGATACCGCTCGCCACGCGACTCCAGTCGATGACGACGACGTTGATGTCGACGATGAACGAGGTCATGCAGGATCACCGGACTCGCCTCCCAAAACACAATATGAGTTGATGCGTGACAATAACTTTGAGCATCTGCAACATCAGGATGCCGACGACCAACGAGCCACTCAGAGACTGCGCTTCAAACCTAATCAGTTGGGAGACAACGCGGTGGCCGATAATGGCATTCTGGAAAGCATCACGTGCATCAACTTCATGTGTCACACTCGACTACACTGTGAACTCGGCCCGCTTCTCAATTTCATAGTGGGTGAAAACGGAAGTGGAAAGAGCGCCATCTTGACCGCTATCACTCTTTGTCTTGGTGGCAAGGCCAGCTCAACCAACCGCGGAGGAAGTCTCAAGAGTTTCGTCAAGGAGGGCACCGAAAAGGCTGTTCTGATCGTCAAAATCAAGAACCAGGGCCAAGATGCCTATAGACATGAGGTTTACGGGGATTCCATCATCGTCGAACGGCACTTTTCCAAATCCGGCAGCAGCAGCTTCAAGGTCAAAACGGCCACTGGCCAAATAGTGTCTACCAAGAAGCAGGAAGTCGAGGAGATCGTCGAATACTACGCCCTCCAGGTGGATAACCCCTTGAACGTGCTGTCTCAGGACAATGCCCGTCAGTTCCTCAACTCGTCCACCAAGCAGCAAAAGTACAAGTTCTTCATCGAAGGTGTACAGCTGCAACAGCTGGACAATGACTACAGGCTAATCGCCGAGAGTCTGGAGCTCATGGAATCCAAAATTCCCGACCAAGAGGAGCGGGTCAAAGCAGCCGCGGAGGAACTCAAACGAGCAAAAAGCTTCAAGGACGCCATGGACGGAAATCGCAAGCTGAGAGCCAAACAACATCAGCTTCGGAGCCAGATGTGTTGGCTCCAAGTGGTTCAAGAAGAGGCCAAGCTGACAAAATTGGACGAGAAGATTGCCCAACTTGCGGATCAAATGGCTGAAGTAGACCGTCAGAGAAATGAAAAGGGCGTCGATTTGGAGCGCGTCGAGAATCAGATCAGGGCCTTTCAGCAGAAACTGGAAGAGGCTATCCAGCGAAAAACCGAATTCGAAGAGCAGGTGGACGAGAGGAGGAAGAAAGCTCAAGCAGTCAGGGACGAACTTGCACAAATCCAAGCAGATGAACGGGCAGCCCACCAAAACTTGAGAAGTGCAGCCACGACAGTAAAGGACTTCGAAGAAAAGGTTGCGGCCGAAGAAAAGCGACTTGAGGAAGCCACAGGAGACGCCCTTCTTTCCAAAACTCGGGAGCTTGAAAAGGCAAAGGAGTACGTTACAGAGGTCGAGGCCAAGATTTCCAAGGCCAAAGAGGACGAGAAAGACCTACTCAACAAGCGAGACGAAGCCCAGAAAGCCCAAGACGCTAAGGCTGTTGAATGCTCTCTCAAGCGGGACGAAATTACCGTAGCGGAACAGGAGTTGAGGATCTCCGAAAAGGATCAAGGCTCTATCTATGCAGCTTATGAGTCCAAACTTCCTGAATTGCTGAAGATGATTGAGAAAGAGACCAGATTCCAGAACAAGCCGGTGGGGCCGCTTGGCGCCCACATCCAGCTGCTGAAGCCGGAGTGGTCTTTGATCCTGGAAAAGACGTTTGGAAACGCCCTTAATGCATTCATCGTCCAGAGTATGGCCGAACAGAAATTGCTTCAGGGCTTGATGAACAAGCTCAACATCCGCCAGTGTCCGGTTTTTATCGGCAATCGACATCCCCTAAACACAGATGGCAAAGAGCCTGATCCTTCCTTTGACACCATTCTCCGTGTGTTGAAGATCGACAACATGATGGTGCGCGATCAGTTGATCATCAACCACATGATTGAGCAGGTCATACTGATACCACAGCGTACTAAAGCTGAGGACATCATGTTCAGCGGAGCACGACCTCGAAACGTCAAGGCTTGTCTAAGTTTCCATGATAAAAAGAGAGACGAAGGTCTTCGACTGGTTGTCAACAACAGCGGAGGAATGTCGACTTCTCCTGTGCCGCCCCTCCGTAACCAGCGCCCACGGATGAAGGCGGATGTCGGCTCGCGGCTTGCTTATCAAAAGGAGACCCTGCGGCAGCTGGAGCTAGAGTATAGCGTACTTGATCGTGAACATCGTCAACTGCAGCAAGAGGTCCAGAAGTTCACTAGCGACCTCACCAAGCTTCAGAGAGACAAGAAAACCTTTGACAGCGAATTACGGCATGCTAGGGTTCAAGTCGAGCAAGTGCAGTATCAACTTGATGAGTATGAAGGCGGTGATTCTCGCCTTACAGGCTTGAAGGCTGAATTGGCTGTTGCCAAGGAAAAAGAGGAGGCTTGCGGGCTTCAGTACGGCAACCTTCGGATAAGGAAGGATAAGAAGAACCAGGCATCCTCAGAAGCCCAGGCTCAGCTCACGGAAATTAGGAAGGAATCGGAGAAATATGAAAGGGAGGTGAAAAAATTGCAGGAGAAGAAGGCCAGGCTGGAAGATGTTCGGAAGATTAATCTCACCGAGGTCAATGAAGCTCATGCCTCTTTCGAGATATTCAAGGGGGACAAGGAGGAAGCCGAGAAGGAACGTGAAAAAGGTGCCGAAGAAGTCGCCACTTTTACAAAACAGATCATTGAAGCATTAGGGAGTGAAGAACGAGCCCATGTCAACCCAACCGACAAGTACGAGGAGCTGGAAAAGCAGTATCAGAGCATTCAGAATCAACTCGAGAAAGAGCGACGGAAGAGGGGCATGACCGACGAGGAAGTTTATGCGAACCTCACGAGGGCGAAGGAGACGTACGATGATGCCAAGAGATCTCTTGAAGGCATCAAGACGGTCAACTCTCGTCTCCGTCGGACGCTGACCATTCGCCTCGAGAAGTGGCGCAAGTTTCAGCGGTACATCTCATCACAGAGCCGAGCGAACTTCATCTATCTTCTCAGCGAGCGTGGCTTCAGAGGCAAGTTGCTGCTGGACCACGAGCGGAAGGCTCTGGACCTAGTCGTCGAGCCTGACAAGACCGAGAAGAGGGCAGCGGGGAGAAACACAAAGACACTATCTGGCGGCGAAAAGTCTTTTTCATCAATCTGTCTGCTGCTGAGTATCTGGGAGGCCATGGGAAGCCCGCTCAGATGCTTGGATGAGTTCGACGTGTTCATGGACAATGTCAACCGTGCAATCAGCACGAACATGCTGGTGAGTTTTATTGATGACAGCAACGATGGAGACAAGCAATGATATATCCATGAACCGTTGCTAACGTGGCCACAGATTACTGCTGCTCGTCGGTCCGTAAATCGGCAGTACATATTCATCACACCGAATGCCATCGAGGGGCGGAACACTCTTGACAAGGACGTCAAGATTATTCGGTACGTATCCTTCCCTTCCCTTTCGAATGACCTGTGCTTGAACTAATAACGTCTCTCTAGACTGACGGATCCTCGGCAGAGGACGTTGGCCGACCACTGAAACTAAGTACTCTTTGCCTTCATCTCGTTTCTGTTTTTGAGTTTTGATCTCCGTGGGTGTGTATCTGAACAACTTCTGTCGAGATATAAACAAGCGTCAAAGCGGCGCAGAGAGGTGTTGGCGTTTTGTATGGACTGATTGGAATGTCACTGTGCGTTTGCAATTCGTGTCTTCATAGCGTACCCATTTTGTTTTTGTCTGTGGCAGACATGTTTGGGGGGGGGGGGGGGGGGGGGGGGGGGGGGGGGGCACGTTAGAGCAGATGCTTAACCCTGCGCACCTGGAGTGTACAAATGTTGTACAATCTCTGCATGGGACGTCACCTTACAATGAAATATTCTACCCGGGGTGTAACCTTTTCCTTCTCCTGCATCCGTCCATTTGTCGTCTCTTTGTATAGTTTATGGAGGGTAAATCCCATTGGTCCTTTGGGGGCAATCATCGCTGAAGCTCACTGATATGCGTACGCGGCGCGCCCTCGCTATGGACTTTAGATCTAAGCATTCTATATCTTGACACCCTTGCTGCGCAGAACATTGACACCCGCCGTGGCAGTAAACCCAACCCACTCCCGCAAGTTTCTGAATACACCACCAACCTCATTCACTTCCCTGAGCCTGCGATTCAAGAAAGCCCGGGTATCCATGAACTCAGGGGAGTGATCGTTGGTCATGAACAATTCGGCAGCGGCGTAAATGGTGGAGAGCGAAGCGCGCTTGGTATACCACGACGGGTCGACGGAGGAGTCGCCGGCGAGGAAAAGAATCTCATCCGAGAGCAGGGCGAGCTCCTTAAGCGAAAGAGGGACGTAAGATGGTTGTGCCATGATTGCTAGAGCCTAGACAGAGAGTGTGGTAACGTCCATCAATGTAAGTCAACGTAATGATATCCAAGCCAGCAAGCGGCCTTTGTTTTTCTGGTTCTTGAAGAAAAAGCGAATGCCCATTGGCAACGAGCATTACAGGGAATGGGAAAACTAACCTCCTGCCACCGCCCAATAACCTGCGCATTCGCCGACAAGCGCTCCCACGTAACCGCCTCCACGCGGCCCCGGATCTCCCACTCCGACAGCCCCGGTCTAGCTCCCACGTGTCCCTCGCCCCCAAAGAGTTCGCTTACCCGAGCCGCGAGCTCCTCCCGCTGCTTGACCAGGTGATACCGGATCAGAGCGAAGGCGCCCTCGGGCAGGATTGTCGGGCTGATGTCCAGGTATCCGGCATCGCGGGCGCCGGCGGCGAGCGCAGAAGGTGTGAAGCCGTGACTAGGGACGTGCTGGTAAGCGGCGCTGAGAATGGATTCCTCGACGGGCGTGAAGGCGGCGGAAGAGGATGGGTGGTCGTAGGAGTGGTAGGCGTTGCGGTGTTGCCGTTGCTGCTGCTGCTGCTGGAGTTTTTGGGTCTGTTTTACTTGGGGGCGTCTGCTGCCGTTTGCACATGTGCAGCCGGAGCCGGTGCTGGTGCTGGTGCTTAGGGAACGATGGGTGGCAGCAGTCGGGACAGGTGCCGCGGCTCGGATCGTGGAGGCAGAGGAAAAGAGGATTTGCCGGGCGGGGCGGCGCAGAGATATCGATGATGGACGCATCATGACGGTCGATAGTTCGTCCACCCTTCGAGGCAACGGAGCGCAACTTGTTTGGAGTTACCGGCTGGAACTATCGCGACTTCGATGAGTTCCATCGATGGAATGGCATATTGCTTTGCTTGCCGGGCCGTGGGACCTTGTGCGATAAAGCTATCCTCACGTGTTGTTGCCCCACTTCATCACTGCTCTGTCTCCATCTCTACTGTACATGTAGTGTACAAGTGAATGTCACTGGTTCCTGACAAAACCACAAAGGGCAGACACTGCAGCTTGAAGGCAGCCTATTCACTTCACGTAGGTCCTGCGCCCCGGTATTGACGACACTGTGGATTCATTTTTGGACGTTGTCCCCGGCATGGTGTGCAACGACCCGGGGGTGTATGGTTAGAGAAAAAATACTAGTGTACTTGCCGTCAGTATCGCACATTTTCTGACAGTGATGGGATCAGCTTCCAGAAACGATGTCTAGGTACACTGTAGTTTGAAGCACATGCAGCCCAAGATCAGTAGGGGGTATGGTACCTGCCGGGTATGTTGTCCTTGCCGTTTACACAGTACACTGCCATCTGAATAAGGAGAACGATTAGCCAGGAGAGTCTGGCCCAAGCAACACCGTATAACGTGTGCATGTCAAGCGGAACCAAGAGGAGAGCCATCGGGCGTCGTGCGGGAGGTCGCGAGATGCAACCAGGGAGTTGAAGTCAAGTCTGGTGTACAATGTAAAAGTCAATGGAGGACTGAAAGTGCCATCGGCTGCTGCAACAGAAGCAATGAGGCATATGACTGAATGATTGGTTGCTGTCCTTCTTCGAGTATTCGATAATCAGCATCGGAAATGGGGCATTATTGGCTGCTGACTCGATCTCTCTTTCAATAAAGCTGCCCGAAATGCGGTGCCAAGTATATCCATATGGCATGCCATGGACATGATAATTATCGATCCATGTTGAAGCTTGCCTGTCCGTGGTGGCCCTCTCCTTTTGCAGTGCTCTCTGGCACCTGGCGAGCCTCCGCGCTGAATGCAAATGGCATTTCCTCGTGGTCGAACTCTCCAGTATACCTAGATCGTTGGACACTCCCCTTGTTCCTGGCCTATGCATGGGTGCTCGTATTTGCTTTGCTCCGACACACGGTCACTCTCGCCCGAATTCAGGGCATCTCCCTCTTCGGACATGGCCGCGTGGCCGCTCTTTTTCTCATCCTGGTCCCCGTTGCCGCAGCCGAGAGAGGCCGTGGTCCAGACCCTTCGGCTTACGCAAGGCTTGGCTTCCTGGAAGCCGTTCCCGCGCCGTGTGTGGCAGTTTGTGCATAGTGCCTTTATTAGCCGACTCTTCATGCATTGACCGGTCTCAGTTCAAAGTGGATGGCCCAATGGTGAGTGTGGGGGGCAGGCATGACAGAACTCTCCCTCGAGAAGCAACTATCCCGAGTGAGTCTTTTGGCAGAGTCGAGGTTCGTCCCTATGGCACTGTCAAAGTCCCCACAGAAGTACACGCTTGTTGAGGTGTTAGGCAAGGAGGGGAACTCCAGATTGCTCATACTGGCAAACTTGCCGGTTTCTTTCAGCTGTTCCCAATCCTCCCGGCTTGCTTTGATATGCATGACGGGCAGTGCTTTGGTATCCCCGAAGAGAATGTTCGGCAGGGCGTGGTGATCATTGGTTGTTTTGCTTCCGATGTGCCGCGCTGCCGCTGTTGTATTACGGCATTACAGGCGGCTCGAAAACAGGACTGCTTCTTGGAGGGCAGTCAGTCCCACGGGAACACGAGCACCGCAAGAAGGGGCAGCTGTCCAGATGAGAGGGGTTGGGAAGCGGGCTGGTAAGATATCGACACCTGGCCCAGCCGCCGAACCGTATTGAGCTTATAATTCGACCAGCTTGTCCAAGGGATCTCGCCAGCTTTTGCATAATTCAATCCACTTCTTGATAGCTGTTAGCGGATTGAGGAATCGACCATCAAGATTCCCCCTATCCCCGAGTCCGAATGTCATGTACTGCCATCTGTGGCCGCTTGAACATATCGGTCAGGTGTAACCGAACGTGGATGGGTTGCGGACAATCTACAAACTGATGATGACGTCAACTCTGAATAGCCTCCAGCTCGGCGCGTCTGATTCTTTGAGATGACAGGTGGAGATGCGGGGCCTGAGGATGGCCTGGAAGGGAATCCGAAGACTAGCCAAGTGGATGGAGTTGGGGTGCTTGGGGTAAGGTGGGCTCAACTGGGTGGGTGCCGAGTATAATGTATGGTTGCTGTAGGGTTATCTTGTTTGAGAAGAACGGCTACATTGAGAGAATCGAGGTCGTTTTCAAGATGTGGATGCGGTCCGTACTTGTACAGAAAGAAAATGCCCGGCCCATCATGTAGGCGTTGTCGGGCTCGGAGGCTAGATCTTTACTTGACCTGCGTACCGGGTTATCTCTTTATAAACACGAAAGCGCTCATAGGTGCTCTCACACACAAGCTGGAACTGAAGTTTTTAGTGAACTAGTTTCGGATTCTGTGAAAATTTATCCTTCAGCACTGAAATACTTTTCCATCCTCCATGACTTGAACACCCGATCGCTTGTATCAGATGGGAGCAGCTCCAGAAAGACAACTACCACGGTACAGCTTTAGCAGTGAACACGTGAAGCGCCGTTCGTAGTTTTACTCGAGACAAGCCAACCTGGGTTAAAATCGAAGCGTGAACTCATCCGTACACAGCTGTGATCGATCTTGAACCAATAACCTGCTACCTCCTCGAGTGAGGCGGCGGACTTTTCGCGGAGGGTCAAGTTTCCGGAATTGACGACAGCTTTTGAGCTTCAACACCTGTCTGTTTCCTCCAGACCTGAGGCTAGGCATCGACCTGCAAGTAGAACTGAACTTGGTGTAGCACTCCAAGTCTACCTGGCCCATGCTGTTTGTCTCTTGGACTTCTACATCACCAGCACTACGAATAAGAAGTTGAAGGATTGGTAACGCCAAGCCCGAAAGGAATATGAAAGTGAGGTGCAAAGCCCGTACAACTAGGTTGGAGGTAGAGTAGCAAAGGCTGCTTTGTCGGCTTTATGTACCGTCGTTGTTATCCCGCAAACCTGGAACGAGCGAGGCAGGGGAGAGTACAGAGTGGATCCAGGTGTAAGCTTGTACCTGTACCTCACTTGCACTGTCCAGTCTTACTCCCCTCCACCGTAGCACTACTGCATTGGTTTTGCACCAGGCTGTACCTAGGTACCGCTACACAGACAGCGACAGCTAAAGTGTCCACCGATGAGAAGTCCGTGCATTATGAGTGGGCAACAAGGCCAGCCATCGAAGGAGCGTGCTTCACCCATCCCACCGCGCGTGGCCTGGCTGCACATCCACACAAGACACAAACAACATCACTGGTCAGTCAACCGGTCACGGCATCGACACAACTTCCTGCGGTCCAACTTCCACCGACCTCAACTTCTTCTTGATTCCGTCCGGAAGACCATCCGCTACCTCTACCCTCTCGACGACTGCGTCCACGGAAAGTCACTCCACAGTCAACGTCGAATCCTTGGGGTGCCAGCCTGCGTGTTTCCAAAAGTTGCAGGTACGTAACTCTCTTCTACCCAAAGCCTCGAGGTGACGCGGCGTGAATGCGATGCGCCTTGTTGCCTCTATCCATTCATTGCATTGAAGGCTGGGCCTACCTCTACTACTTAGCCGGTTCCATTGTGGTACCTGCGACCAGTACCACCTCACGGTCTGGCAACCTCGTACCCTTTGCCCTTCAAGTGACTCTCTGGCTCCCGTCCTTGGCTTGTGACGAACAATTTCCTGACCTTTCGGGCTCTTTGCCTGTCCAGCCCGCCTCCGTCTGCCCTGCCTTGTTCCAAGCATCGCCCTCGGCTACACTCGTCCACGACCGATCTACCGCGCCGCCCCAAAGTGCGCGAGCCTGCGCAGATTCCCGTTCGGCCTTGCAGCCCACCACCCACTCAACCTCCCTCGACATCTACCCTACCTACTGCCTACCACAGCCAACGAACAGACGCACATCTGCCCAAATCGCATCTATCCTCCATTGCGCCAGAGTCGCAGTGTACCTCGACTGAACCCGTTGTCCCCCAACAACGTTCAAGCGCTGCTGTAGCGAACAACATAGCACCATACATCAGGACAGCACCAATCGTCGCGTTCCCGACGACCTCGTCCTACTCGAGCGGCTAAGTTGCCCGAAAATTTTTCTCGATTCTTACCGTACCTGCCTCGAACAGGACAAGTATTAGACTCAGTTGTCATGGGTAAGTTCCAGTCTGACACCAAGCCGGGTCTCTTCTTGCTGTCTCCAAAGTGTCCTGGAGCTGGCTGCCGTCCGCTTTTCGGCTTTCTCCATATCCTCCTTCTGCCATACCACAAGTATCCTCCCCTCACACAGCTTGGTCTCAGCCAATCCATCCCACCTTGGAGCTCTCTTCTGGTGGTGGCGGCCGAGACGACTCCTCACTTCACGTTGGACTCTGTTTGTTTCCCCCGGCAATCTTACCCGAACACATACCAATCCCTCACCACTCGCCCTTTACCCCTCCTCACCACTCGGGATGGCTTGTCGCGTCTACAGGCATCAGTCTTCTCGATAGCAAGCCTTCTCGGTCCCATCTTGCGTTTGTATGAATCTCGTTGTCGGGAGCACCAGGCGATGCGTCGATGGCGTATCACGCCAGCTTTGTAACCCCAAGGAGAGCCTTCAGTCACAACGGCATTTGGTATTGATCAAAGCCACTTGTGCGGGCCCGGTTTGCGAGTTGTGGTTGGGTTGTGCTCCGAGTCCTCTTGGCCAAGTGGAAGCTCGCGTTACCCTTCCCACCGTTCGCAGACGGGAGCTGCAGTATTGCTGCAGTGACGTGCCCGCGTTTCTTTGCCTTGCGTCGCCTTGTCCTGCGTGGCTCCCAGGCTACATATACACAATTGAAACCCCCCCCCCCCCCCCCTCCTCTCTCCCCCTCCCCCATCCTCCTGCACGTTTTCCCTTTCCGGTCCACAGTGGTAGGAATCATCAGGTTATTCTCACCCCGCCGCGTCACAAGCTCTCACATCCCCTACCTCTCTCTACCTTTCCTACCTACGCCCTGTGTCAATCCCTTGCGCGGGCTGCTTTCCCCCAGTTGCCACTGGTCACTTCATTTCTCCCACATCATTCCCATACTGCCTCCTCCTCCACCTTTCCTTCGTTCTCTCGTCTCCCCACTTAACCACTTACATCGCTCTACTTTATTTTATTCACTTGGTCTAACCTAGTTCCTCTTTCTACAGCCGACGCAGCAGGAGACACTTATCGCCCTGTAAGTACCACGCATTCAAATTTCTCATCCCCTTTGCCTTGTGTTCTCAGGGCCGGCTTGTTTCAGTCGGCGTCCACAATCATCTCACCTATCCGTCACGAGCGTGACGCACCCCTCCTCTTTCTTCATAAGCCGCGCGAGGGTATGGTTTGGTCTTCAAGCCCCTGCCTCGATGGATTCTCGTCGGTCTCTTGATTTGTGGCCTTTATCAACTAGTCTCGTCTGATCGACTTGTCCTGGCGATCTCTGGTCAAGCTTCCGTCCTCGACTCGCATAAGCTAGGAGCTAGCAGTGGGGAACGAGTACCCTTCTGGCCGTCACAACACGCAACTACGTGCAGACCCGGTCACCTGCAGTTCACTTTATTCCCTTCGCCCTTTGTCCTCCAACTTCCAAACACTTTTCTTTTTATCTCCCTCTCTCCAGACCTTACACCTGTTCATTCGCTGACGACGACTTCCTCGAAGCGTGAGAGGTCCCGTTCCCCCAGACGTGGACGTTCCAGAAGCCCCACTACTCGCCGTTCATACTCGCCCCGTGACCGTTCGCGGAGTCGCCATCGGAGAAGAAGCCGCACCCCTATGACTGGCCAAGGTGCGCCTGCTGGAGGACAAGGAATTGGTTACACCGGACCACCTCATCGAACTTTCGAAGACCGCGCCGCTCATCGTGAACAAGTCATGAACAACATTCGAGAAACGTCGCAGCAGGACCGCCGCGTCTACGTCGGCAATTTGTCCTACGATGTCAAATGGCACCACCTCAAGGATTTTATGAGACAGGGTATGTCGTGAGACAAGGATGCGAGGGTCAGGTTCCATGTGTTGCTAACCCATCATTAGCTGGAGAGGTGCTCTATGCCGATGTGTTGCTGCTTCCTAATGGAATGTCGAAGGTGGGCTATGAGTGATTTGCGTTCGGCTACTGGTTCTTTTGTGGCTCCCTTCCTTTCGGTTATTTTTGATGGATTGTTGGATTGACGGGTTGGGACATCTTTGTCCATGGAATTTGTAGGGATGCGGGTAAGTCAAACTTTGAATCCCTCAATCGGTTATTTTGGCGACTAGATGCTGACATGACGTTGTTGACTAGAATTGTGGAATATGCGACCAGGGAGCAAGCTCAAAACGCCGTTGCTACCCTGAGCAACCAGAACCTTATGGGCAGACTTGTCTATGTTCGCGAGGCAAGTTCACCCTTGGATCATCGCTAGCATAATCATATACTAAACTGGTTTTCAGGACCGTGAGGCCGAGCCTCGTTTTGGACCTCCTGGAGGAGGTGCCAACCGCGGTGGTTTCGGTGGCGGCATGGGCCCCAACGGATATGGAGCTGTTCCCGGCCATGCTGGCCCCGGCGGCTTCGGTGGTGGTCCCATGGCTGGTGGCGGTGGCCGCCAGATCTACGTGTCCAACGTTTGTTCCATGCCCCATTCTTGCTCCTTTCCATCTCGAAATATACTAATCAACCTTTCCTACAGCTGCCGTACAATGTTGGCTGGCAGGATCTGAAGGATCTGTTCAGACAGGCTGGTAAGTTGAATCGTTTTATACATTAACGTGACCTACAGCTTGCAATACTAACTTGCCATAGCGCGCAATGGTGGTGTTATCCGCGCCGACGTTCATATCGGACCTGATGGCCGCCCGAAAGGATCGGGTATCGTTGTCTTCGAGACCCCGGATGATGCTCGCAACGCCATCCAGCAGTTCAATGGTTACGATTGGCAGGGCCGTATGCTGGAGGTTCGCGAGGATCGCTTTGCCGGTGCGAATATGGGTCCTGGTGGTTTCGGCGGTCGTGGCGGCTTCGGCGGCGGCCGCGGCGCCTTCGGCGGTTTCGGTCGCGGCGGCTTCGGTGGTGGCCGCGGTGGCTTTGGAGGTGGCTTCGGCGGTCGTGGCGGCTTCGGAGGAGCTCCCGGTGCTCCCCCTAGCTTCGATGCCAACCAGCCGGCCGCTCAGCCCAACCCGTTCACTGACTTCGCTACTTCTGGTACTGAACGGTCTGAGATCATTTACGTCCGGAACGTAAGTCAAACTTTCCTTTTGTACCCCCGAGTATCCGATTTCTCTGACTTTCCTCTTCTTCATCAGCTCCCTTGGTCGACCAGCAATGAGGATCTCGTCGAGCTCTTCTCTACTATTGGTAAGGTAGAGCAGGCTGAGATTCAATATGAGCCCAGCGGTCGCTCCCGCGGCTCTGGCGTCGTTCGCTTCGACAATGCCGACACCGCCGACACCGCGATCCAAAAGTTCCAGGGTTACCAGTATGGTGGACGTCCTCTCGGTCTGAGTTTCGTCAAGTACCTTAACCCTGGTGCTGGCGGCGACAGCATGGATACCGACCCCCATGGTGGCCTGACACAAGATCAGATCATGTAAACTGATTACCGACCATCGCGTCAGTCATACTGGTTGATGCAACAGATTTCCTATGATAGTTTGGGATTTTCCATTTGGAGGTTGTATTATATGACTGGATTTAAGCCTGTGTTCGATATGGCGCTCGGTTCAGTCTTCCCAATTGCACTACTTATCTACGGACAGGTGGCTATGGTCAGGGATTTGGTGGCCATGAGCGTTGCCCTGGGATGGGGAAGTAGTTCGAATGCCCGCATGACAAGCATGTGAAGGATGGTGTCGGAGGAAGGAGATTGAGGAAGTTGAATTTGCGACATGCTTTACCTTGCCCAGTTTTAGCACATGGGAGAAGTGAACCCCACTGAAACTTGTTGCTCTTTTTGCGGCTGAATTTTGGCTCTTCGCCTTTCTTTCAGCAAGTTGTTTACGGTTCGGACCCTCAAAATGGACAGTTGATCTTGTTTCACCTACATCCCCCCACCTTTAGACTGTACTCTTGAAGAGAACCTGCAATTATCTCGGTTGACCTTAGGATTAAGATCGAACATTGGAACTGCGACTCTTGGTAGCTTGAATCAAAGCCAATCAAGGTGAAGCCAACGTGATGTGCCGTCGGGTGTTCGTGGTGTTTCATAATGATGAATCGAGTGGAGAACGGGTGAGCCGGCTGCCCTCTAGCTGATGCTCATAAGTGCGGCTCGAATATGTCTACGCTTAATGTCAGGGTACGGTAGCTGCTGCTTCACCCGGGCAGTCTTGTTATCTCACCAAATGAGAAATGTTAACTTTGCTAATAGGACCGTTTAGATCGAGTTACCTGGAGAAACACGCTCTCCCGTTGATCAAGTTCACACCCAAGACAGGATCGTGAAGGCCAGCCAGCAGATTTGGAACGAGCATATGAACGTTATCAATTCGGCTCGCTCTTACTTTCCTCTTCGTTCAACAGCTTCTCTGTTAAAGCACAGAAGTCATTCTCTCACGCTTCTTCACTCATTCATTTGATGTTCCTCTCTTTCCCTTCCATCTCCATTTCCACGAAGGGCCGCAGACTTCCTGCGGCAGGACTGAACATTCTCCAGAACGGGCATATAATCCCTTTAGTTCGCACCTTTCATCAACTCCAGTAGCTCACGTAGATAGTAGATGTGTGCTGCAAGCTAGATAAGCAGCTGAGCTTTTCATATCCCCCCCCCTCCCCAACACCCTTTTTTTTTTTTTTTTTTTTTTTTTTTTTTTTTTTCTCCCTAGTCGTCTTGAAGGGTGATACCGACAACGAGTAGGTGAGTCGAGAGGTAGGGCAACCGAGAGTGGTAGGTTGAAGGCTATGATGCGGTACTACTCACCAACGCTTTCCTCACCATACGTACCCACTGACTTGAACCAAGGTATTCCACCAAAACTTGGGAATATTACAAAATTTAATACGGTACCCTCATACAGATCCCCCCTTCCGTTAGGTCAGGTACACACAAGAAGACAGAATAAGCAATGGTGTAATTTGCGACGCTTGCTTTGAGTCCAATCAGGGAATAGCCATCATAGAAGTCCCACCAGCACCAACACCAGGACCTCCAGCGGCTGCAGGACCTGTCTTCTTCTTCCTCGACTGCTTTTTCCTCTTGGTCCTGTCTCTCGGCTTCAACGCCCCCATGCCCTTCTTGCAAACATCGGCGTACCTCCCGTAGAAGGTTTCCAGGTCGGCTGGCTCGACAATGGTGGACAGCTTGACCTTTTCTGTCCTCTTGTCTTTGCCCTTGGCGTTGGTGGCGCGGATGAGAACCGGGAGCGGGGTGGCAGGGTTGAGGTCGGTGAGAGGGTCGGTATCCGTGGATTGGGAAGGTGTGCTGTAGGATACTGTGGGAGGGGTTAGCTCTGGTGATAGAGCTTCACTCTACTTAGCTCATCGCGGGTGGATGGAGATGGAGTTAAGCTTGGAAAACAGCGGGAATTGGGAGGGTTGTCGTGACGGTAGCAAAGCCGAGTGTGAAGTTTCCCGTCTGCGCTGGGTTGGTGTAGGTACACGTACGCCTCTTTTGTACTAGGTTGATGGTTCCGTGATCTTGGTTCTTCCTATACTCGAACAGATTGGTGAGCTTGGAGAAGAACTATACCATAGTAGGTTGAAGTCAGATTAGCATGGTCTCCTTAGGAAGGGATCACAGCAGTCAGTGATATATATCATTACCTCATCGTGAGTTAAATGGCCCATGATGTCCAGTTGTTCTTCTTCTTCTTCTTTTCCTTGTTTGCAAAAGGCAAGACAACAATTCGGCTGAGGAGTGAATGTGAAGGCAACCTAGAATGATTGATGAGAGTCAACGAGAGTGGCAGCTTTCCCCACTGCCGTTGGCCGGGCAGCTCCCGTCTGTCTGGTAGGAGTGAGCTTCCTCAGTGTAAAACCAGCCGGGTGGGGTCCCAAGCAGCTGAGGACCCGCTTCATTTCCTCTTGGCGCTCTTGGCCCCGCAGTCGACACGCCTGGAACCCTGCACCGACCGATAACCAAAAAAACTATCTGATAACGATAGCAAGGTCCCGGTCGCGCGCTCTTCTATGCAGCGACGAAAGAGAGAGTCTTGCAAAGTTTGGAGGTCGTACCAATCAATCACATAGACTTCCGCACGCGCATATTACAACATGGCACCCTCCATGAGGATAAAGGCTCCAAAATTGCCTGACAACCTCCTGAAGGAGCTCGGCGTAGAAGGTGAGCGTGCCTCCGTTCATGCGCCCATACAGCCATTGTCATTCCTGTCTGGCAATCAGGGTTCTCCGACGAAATCCTAACTCTTGCAGAACAATCTCACGGAGGTCGCAAGAATCAATTCCAATCTAGAAAGGATCGACGTAAAGCAGAGAGAACACAGAAAAGGATCCACCGCACCTCGTCTACAAGAAGTTACCATACCGAGCGCGCTACAGCCCCAAAATCACAGAAGAAGGTCGATGCCGCATCGACAAAGGAAGCAAAGGAACCCAAGCCCATCTTGAAGAACGGGAAGAAACGACCATTGGAGGATGAGGATGAAGATGTTGCCCTCGAAGAGAACGATAATGAGGGTTTCGATGACGAGGGCGACATCGATCTTGACGAGGACGAGGACGACGAGCTAGACCTCGACGAAGAAGACGACAAAGACGGCGAAGACGTGGACGACGAAGAGGAAAGTGATATCCCAGCACAAATCATATCGAAGTCGCAGCCAAAAATTTCAAAAACTGTCATGGAACGATTGGCGCAAGACGACAAGGAGATCGCCGACCTCGAAAAGAAGCTCGGCATCAAGGGACGCAAATCGCTTCCCAAGTCCTTCCAGGAGGATGGTCTTCTTGATCTACTAGAAGGCCTCCCTGGCGTAGACGACGAAACAGCCGAGAAAAGGAAGCGGAAGTCTGAAGCGGATGAGTGGCTTGCGGCGAAAAGGAGGAAAGCGGAAGAGGCGAAGAAGACGAAGGATTTCGAACTAGACGAGGAAGAAAATGAAGTCTCCGAACTGGACGAGGAGGACGATGGCTTGGACGATCTCTTAGAGGGATTGAACTCTGACGAAGACAACGACGTTGACCAAGACGAAGACATGGTCGAAGGCGATTCCGATGAAGATGGAGAAGAAGACAGCATCTCGGGCGAGGATAAGGGTGAGTTTGGAGGATTTGACGAGGACGACGACGAGGACGAATCCGACAACGACGAAGAAACGCTACAAAAGCCGCCAGAACGAGTCCGCGAAAACCCATATGTTGCGCCCACAACTGGGCGGACTGTAGTAAAATACGTGCCACCATCGAAGCGACAGGAGGCGGGCTCAGAAGCGGAGTTGGTGGCCCGCATTCGCCGTCAAACACAAGGTCTCATCAACAGGATGACAGAGTCTAATCTTTTATCCATCATTATGGACTTTGAAAGGCTTTACCGCGACAACCCGCGACAACATCTTACGTCGAACATTGTCGATCTCCTACTCATTCAGGTGTGCGAGCCAACGACGCTGCCTGATACGTTGCTCGTGCTTACCGCGGGTTTCGCTACCGGTATCTTCAAGGTGATTGGTATGGACTTTGGCGCACAATTAATCCAAGAAGTGATCGAGCGATTTGATAGGCATTATGAAGAGGCCAAAGAGGCTGCAAAGGAGCGGCCAGACGTACCGAAACAGACATCCAACCTCATCACTTTCCTATCCGAACTCTATAACTTTCAACTCGTGGGCCCTAACTTGCTCTTCGATTTCATTCGAATCCTTTTGGGTGATCTGTCGGAGCTGAACGCGGAACTTTTGCTCAGGATTGTGCGCATCGCTGGCCCAGCCCTCCGACAAGATGACCCCATGTCTGTCAAGGACATTGTTACCCTTATCCGCCCGGCTGTTGCCAAGATCGGAGAGAAGAACCTCAGCGTCAGAACTAAATTCATGATTGAGACCATCAACGACCTGAAAAACAACAAGATGAAGACGGGTCTAGGCGCTTCCGCCGTTCTCACGGAGCACACAACCAAGATGAAGAAGCTTTTGGGCACCTTGAAAACCATCAAGACGGCCGAGCCTTTGCGAATGACCCTTGCCGATATACGCGATGCGGACAAGAAGGGCAAATGGTGGCTTGTAGGCGCTAGCTGGGCAGGCAAAGATAAGGACAGTGACAAGAAGCCATTGACTCAGGACGGTGTCATACAGGATAGCGTTGACTCGGACGACGAAAGCTTTGTCTTGGAGGATGTCGAGGACATGCCTGACCTCGGAGAACTTGCCAGAGAGAACCAGATGAACACGGACGTGCGCCGGTCCATCTTTGTGTCGATAATGTCCGCCACGGACTACGAGGATGCCTACTACCGCATCCTCAAATTGCGCCTGAACAAGGAGCGACAGAGAGAGATTCCATACGTGATCATCCAGTGTGCCGGCGCAGAGCAGGTCTACAACCCATACTACACCTTGGTGGCCAAGAAGCTTTGCGGGGATCGCAAAATCCGGTGGTCGTTCCAAGACGCGCTCTGGAAGCTATTCAGGCGTCTCGGAGAGTCAGTTTTTGGCGATGACGCGGAGGATGAGGAGGATGTAGATGCGATGGACATGCGGCGGCTTGTCAACATTGCAAAACTGTTCGGGGCCATGGTGGCAGGTGGATCGCTAGGGTTGGCAATTCTGAAATGCCTCAATTTGCCTTATCTACAAACCAAGACACGGGCGCTAGTGGAGATCCTGCTGATTACTGTGCTTCTTGAAGCCGGAAAAGGCGGCGACAAGGATCGGGATGAGACGATTACTTCGGTGTTTGTGGCTGTGGAAGGGGTCCCCGAGCTTGCCAGAGGCCTGCAATGGTTCATCAAGAAGGTGGTCCGGAAGTCGGATCTCGCGGGAGGAGCGGCCAACACCAAGCTCGTCAAGGAGGGTTGCAAGACAGCCATGGCGGCCTTGGAGCATGCGCTGCTCGCCGCCGAAGGCTTGGTGGAATAATTTTGCTTTGTTGGATACCTGTATATGGATCGGATATCTTCGGGAATAGCAACATAATGATCAGGGATACAAGTGTGCCGGGGTTCATACAAAAGGCCATTGACGAATATCTTGACAAGTTCATGGAACTAACCCCCCAAGTATTCTCGCTCCGATGTAGTTACCTACTTTGTAGATATTAGCGTTGACGGCGGGACTGGAAAAGTTGGGGGTAGCTTTGGGGAACTTGTTGTCTGGAAGGGCGATTTTGCTACTAGGGATCCAGGGAGCAACCGACTCGAGTCTGCGGGAGCCCGGAAATATAGTGGTCTGTGAATAGCACTCAATGATGTCATTTCGTTTTGCAACGAAGGGACGGGTTTCATGAGGGTCGGGCGGGACTCGAGATTGTAGACATGAAGAGGAGGCAGATGGTTTGGGATGTATTGCCTGCCATGTGTCATGTCGTTCGACAAACAAAAGTCTACCTAACCTCTAAGGAGACGGGTCAGGGACAGGTTAGGGCGTGTTCGGCAACTCAGTAAATAATTTCAGTAAACGTTACTAGCCGGATTTACTGGGCCGTATTCGCAACGATCAGTAACTAATTTACCAGTAAATTACAGTAAAATCCGTTCTAATAAATTTTTTACCCTACAACCCCCATCTAACTAATGAAATATATAGAAATTGCTATATTACTAGAAGCCATTTCTAAACCTCTAAACCTCTGGAAATAGCTTCCAATATTTAATAATCCCCACTTTTCACAACCACACATCTCATCAACGTACACCCCTCAACGCTATACCAATCTATTACAATACAATCTACTACTCTAAAAATTTATCGGTATTAATATTTAATATACTGTTAAATACTAATCCTAATTATTATATTCCTAATAAACCTTCTTATTCTATAGAAGCTACTAATCCTTATAAGTTTATATAAATAACGTAGTCTCTTTATAATTAAAGAACTTTTATATAATTATACGGGTCGGTTCAAAGACTTAATTCGTATAGGACCCCGGACGTTCTATATATTAAATAAATAACTTCGTTACTATACTAAATTATATTTATTGAAATATATAACTACTTAAGAAAAACTATTAATATTCTTATTTATAACTGGGCAAAGTATTACCTTTTAGTTTACCTCCTTCCTATTTAATTATAATTTAAATACTATTAATAAATTAATTAATAAAAGTTATAATTTTAATTACAAACTTTATACTTACTAATATAATAGGGTATTTTATAAAATCCTTAATGTATATATAATCTTAGGGAATTATAAAATAAAATTACCCTATACTAGAATTTTTAATATTATAAAGGGTAACCCGAAATTATTCCCCTACTTTCGTAAGATTCTAAGAGCACTTAATAAATTACACTTTAAAATATAACTTAATAAAATACAGTTCCCCTGGGCGGAGCCAATGTCCAGGGGGAGACAGGGAGACGCCCCTAGAAATTACTTAATATATAATTTAAAAAAAAAAAAAAAAAAAAAAAAACTCAAAACTGAACTGAACAGGTAACCTTTAAAAAAGGTAGTAGTAAGAATAACCACTAAGCTATAGAGCTTTAATAGTTAATTAAATTAATTATCGAGTTTTTTTCCTTATATTATTAACCTTTGAAAAAAAAAGGGGTAATGAAAAAAAGAAAAAAAAAAAAACCCCAAAAAAAAAGAAAAAACTAAAACTCGAAGGCAAAATTTTAAAAAAAAAATTTTTCATTTTTTTCTCTTTTCTAGAATTTTCCATTTTAAACCCTAACCCTAACCCCCCTAGATTTCCAGGGTTGGGACTTAGTCATTTCTGGGACTTGGTCATTTCTGGGATTTGGTTATTTCTGGGACTTGGTCATTTCTGGGACCTTACGGTCGCAACCAAAATCTTCATTTTCGATTTCTTTTGCTTTTTTCTCAACAACCATCGCGTGCACCACAGTGCAACCGGTACCAAAATGACCGCCTTTTCTTTCTCGTCCTTTTGACACCATGTGCATTTCGATGCACGCGACAATGGAGGAGGAATCTCCGTTGCAAAGGAAAAAGTGGCTTTTTCGTTCTGCTATTCAAACCGTGTCCTGCTTGGCGCCAAGTTTTCCTATTTGGGACTGCCAAGACGGGTAATTTTCTGCATTCTGGCCTATTATAGACAGATACGCCGCGCCTTCCTCGCTTGCGTTGGGTGGGCCTATGGACTACGACCTTTGGTGTGGATCTTCCATGTCACCTTTCGGGCCCACGACAACGGCCGGGCAAGCTCTAAAAGCATAGGCGTCTCAATTAAAATAGTTAAATTATAGTATAACTATAAGGGATTTTATTTAACTAATGTACTAATTATATATAATTTTAATAGTTAAGTCCGGTATATATTCTTTAATTAGGAAGGTTCTATTAATAATATAAGGGTTCTAAATAGTACCTTTATACAATAAGGAGCTTATAGATTTCAAATCCTTTAAGGGTGGTATTATTTTGCCGATACTAGGTATAATTATAATAATTGACTATTCGTATTATATTATAATATCTAATACCATTTTAAGGAGAATAAGAAGGTAGGACTCCGCCTTATTAATATAGAAGAATTATATAATCTATATTATAGCTAGTTTCGTATTGTAGTTGAAAAGATAATCGGTCGGTTGAAAGGAATGTTCAAAATCTATTACTATTCGCCCAACTTCGGTATAAATATCCAAATAAAAATTATCTTTACTACTATAGTAGTACTAAATTAATTCGTAAAGTATAATAATACCCTCAATGATTACTATAATATAGTAACAAATGTGAGGGTAAAATTTAATAATATAATTGTAATAAAAAAGGAACTATTTAATATAATTAATTTTACGAATAATTATAATATAAAAAGGAGAATAAACTTTATTAATATAAAGTTAATTGGAGGGACGAAGGGATATATAGCGTAATATTGCAATTGTATCGCTAGAAGTGTGAGAGCACGTAACGGGCGAGGCACTGCTGCAGCGTTGTTGACGTTCAATATAGAATTTACGATTAAAGAGTAAAATAAAAGGTAAGAGTTGTGCGCGCAGTTGGCGGTGGGAGATATGCTCCCCGAACCAGGTCTACTGCGGCCCACTCTTCCTTATCTAATCTACAACCAATCCCAGCTATTGTATCCGACCGTATATTCTAGTATAGTAGTTCTACCACGGTATAACCCGTTTAATTGGGCTATAATATTACCCCCCCCCCTTAAAGAAGATTTTGCCCTTAGAATCTTGAAAAAGGAAAAAATTTAGTTAATATATAGTTCGAACCTATAGTCTTGCGATTGCTTTTTAGGTAGGGGAGGAATACCCTCGGGGTAGCCTATAATATAATTTTAGGGCCCTTAATCCCGCTACTACGTTATTAGACTAATTCTACGAATTGTTCCACTTTATTAGAAAATATTCTACAATAGTTATTTATTAATTTATACTAAAGTTTTCTTTCCTTATTTATATAAGTAATTTAACCTCTTTAACAGTTTGCCCTCTATTTTACCCTCTTTTAGTATATTATTATTATTATAATTATTTAATATTAGGTCCTTTATTTACGCTCCCTTCTAGATTTGGAGTTGCTTTAGCGGACTAGGTTTATCCGGGTTTGTATTATAATAGGCTTTAAATAAATTGGGTGAATTCTTAAAATTTCGGGTAGGATACTACGTAGGGTCAAAGTCCTAACCCTTCTAATTCGCTTAGTAGTATAGCTTTCTGTTTATTAACCGATAAGTTGTAATGCTTTTAACCTTCTATTCTTTTTAGTCGTTAATTAATTCTCCCGCTAGATTTTCGTTTATTTATTTTAGAAATAGGTTATTGGTATACTTTCGGAGGCGGTCGGTATAGTAGACCTTTACTCTGTACTAGGCTAGCGGGAATTTAAATTTATAGGAATAGCCCTTTATTATTTTAATTTTATAAAGAATATAAGTAAGGAGAAAATTGAATTTATTATTTAATCGATTAATTAATTAAAACTTTTTAATAATAAATACTCTATTGCTAATACTAAAATTAGGGTCGCACTAGTATTTATTTACTTAATCCGCCTATTTCGCCTAGGCTTTAACTATAATATTATATACCGATTCCTAAAAGCTATATAGAATCCGTAAGGTTTATTACACTTCCTCGTAGGAGTATCGCTCCTTAGCTAGTATTATAACAATACAACAATTTTGATAAAAAGGTAGGGGTATAGGGAACCTTATAATTACTTTGTAGGGGGATATACTGATATTTTCGTAGTATAAAGAAGTTTAAATAATATTGAGAATAGGGAGTATAATAGATTAATTATTTTAATTATAATTAATAAAAGGGTGTAACTATTAATCGATATATTAATTTATAATTTCCGTTTAGCCCACCGTTTAGGAATAACCGGACGAGGATAATTTCTATTTAATACCGAGGATTTTAGATATTTCGTTGGTAAAGATTAATATGAATTAGGGACCCCTATTATTTACAATTTTTTTAGGATAATTATAGATTCGCTAAGGTCCGTAATAGTAAAGGTAGGCGGCTTATTTAGCGGTAATAATATCTTTATAAAAGATATACTAAAAGGCTTTAGATAATTAATCTACTATAATTATTATATTATTATATCTTCGTTTATCCTTAAATATACTTTTAAAATTAATTATAATATAATACTAAGCGCGGTTAGGAACGCCGAGTAGGTATAATTTTCCGGGCGTTTTATTTTAAGGAACCTTCGATGTTTTATAAATTTAATAATTATTAATAAAGTAGTCGATATTATTGGATATTCTAGCCTACTAATATTATTAGGATATAAGGCAGTGGGTTTTATTCTTACTGGGGTGCCCGGTAATAAATTAAATATGAGTTTTATAAATTAGCGCCCAATGTAAGTCCCCTTTTAGAATTACTAAATAATTTTCTTTTTTTAATAATAATTTATCTTCCCGCAAATTGAATTCTACGTTTCCTCTTTTTATTTTAGTTTAATAGATGGATAGGGAAGGGTCCTTACAATTAGCCTTTAAAAGGGCGTCAATTAAATTTATACTTAATAGTACTAATAATTTTTTATTACTATTTAGGAAATATAATTCGGATATAAAATTATTAATATTATTACTCGATATATCTCCTTTATTTCTAGCGAAGGAATATATTCCTTTTTATTTTTAGTAGAATAATCGGAGGGTATATTAATTTTCTTTTTTATTTTTTATAGTTTAAAAATCCTTTAACTTTTTAAATAGGGCGTTAATAGCCATATTTTCCTTTCTAAATTAATATATAAATTTAAAAATATATTAAGATATTAATTCTACTTATCCGGCCTAACGGGAATTAAGTAGTCTTTTTATAGAAAAATATTCTAAAGTTTAATAGTTAGTAATAATAACGAATAAATATATTCTAATTAATTCTACCCATTATATTACTAATACCTTTACGATAGTAAATAATTCTTTATTGTAGATAATATAATTTAGTTCCGCTGGAAATATAATTTCGGAGAAGAAGGCTATAAAGTATTAATTTTTATCCTTAAATTATAATTAAAATAGGACGCCAGCGTAGATTCTATTTAAAGTATTAATTTCTATTCGTATAAGTTTATTATAAAAGAAGTAAATAAATACCGGTACTTTTAATAATTATTCTTTTAATTTATCGAAAGAAGTTTAATATTCTTTAATTTATTCGAAAGGAATATCCTTCTTTATTAAATAGGTAAGGGGGTAAACTACCCAGCCGAATTCTTTTACGAATTTACAATAAAAATTATAAAAACTAATAAAAGATTGGACTCCCTTTATATTAGTAAATTCCTTCCAATTCCAAACTACGGTAATTTTCTTAGGGTTTACGGATATACCGTCCGTAGAAATAATAAAATTGAGGAATTTTATTAAAGTAATATAAAATTTATATTTTTTAATATTAGTTTAGAATCTAGTATTGTAAAATCGTTCTAATATTTTTTTAATATAAATTTTATATTCTTCTATTATCTCTAAGAAAATTAGAATATTATTAATATAAACGTTATAGAAATTGTTTAGGTACCCTATTAAAACTTTATTAATAAACCGCTAGAACGTCGCTAGTTTATTTATTAAACCGAAGGGTAGAATTTTATATTTATAAATACTATAATAAATACGGAAAATAATTAAATTTTTATTATTTAAGAATATCCGGATCTAGTAGAAGGTTTAACGGATATCGATCTTAGTAAAGATTTTAATTTTAGAGAGACGAGCGATAATTTCTTCGATAAATAATAAAAGGTAACGGTCCTTCTTTAAAAAAGCGTTTAATTTCTAGTAGTCTATATAAAAATAAGGACTTCTATTCGCCTTTAGGGCGAATAGAACTAGCGTAGCCTAGGGGGCCGTATTTAGTTCGATAAATCCTTTATTTAGATTTTCGGTAATATAGTCTTTATAAATTTCTAATTTTTCGAAGGATATTTTATATAATGGGCTATAATTTAAATCTTCTAAACGGGCGCTTTTATTTAAGGGGATATAATAATTGATATCCGGTTATAAATCGGGTAGGGCGTCCGACCTTACTTTACTAAAAATTTTAAAGAAATTATAATAATAATTGGAGACTTCTTTTAGAATTTATTACCTTAATTTTACTTTATTTATCTTTAAATAATCTATATTAGAAATTTACTATTCTTTAATAAATTGATCTAATTTATAGAGGCTAGTTACACCGATATATATTTTCTTAGCTATTTTATAAAAAGGGTTTACGCTTATAAAAATTAAATCGACGGGTCGGTCTTTAGTCTATCCTTAATTGTATTTCAAATAGTATTGGCCGTAGGTATTGCGCAACGGGTATGGATTTTAGGTTAGTTTAGGTTTAATTTTATATAATAGTATTTCCCGGGGGAATTCGTTTAATTCTAATAGTATTTCTTCCGTCTCTTTGAAGAATTACCGGTCTATATAATTAAAGTATTGCTTAATTACATTTAAAAATAGGGATTATAGTAGGTAATATTATAAAATAGAGAGGGGTTATTATAGAAGGGTCGGGTTTAAATATTTAAAATCCGCAGAATATTCTAATTTAATTATCCGAAATTAAATAGCCTTATAATAATCCTAGCCGTTACATCGATATTAATTTTCCTTTTATATTTTAAATTCTCGGGCCTTAGCGTCCTTTTAGAAATTTAAATGTTTAGTAGGTTTTAAATCCTTCTTTTTACCTATTTCGAAGTCGCGGGAGAAATTTAATTTTTAAGAAAAAGGGAATAATAGGCG